ACATAGGGTTAAAAAAAAAAAAAAAAACAAAAAAAAATACGAATCATGGATTACAAGAAAAGAAAACAAACATTTCGATCATGGATTACAAAAAATTCTATTATGGGTTACAAAAAACCAAAAAATTCGATCATGGATTACAAAAAAATCTATCATGGATTAACCAAAAAAAAAAAAAAAAAAAAAAAAAAAAAAAAAATAAACCGTACGGAATCGCCGATTCACTGTTCGGACTCGCCGATTCCGTACAGTGAATCGGCGATTCACTGTACAGAATCGTCCGGTTCTCTCTAGAACCGGACGATTTCCGAGTTTTGGGCGATCCGGTTCCTTTTTCACTATTTCCGAGTCGAACCGGGCGAGTCCGGTTCGACTCGGCGTTTTTTAAAACGCTGGATTAAACACGTGCTTTGGTGACATTTGAACACCCAAAATCTGATGACAATTATATGATCGAATATTATGATTTTGGAAAAAGTTAATGACAACCTTATTTTATAAGAGATACTGCACACAAATGAAATAATCGATTTTCCTTCTAAACAATGTTTAATGAGCCAAGCAAATCTTTCGCTATTAAGCCTAGAGAAAAGTTCTACCCCGCGAAAAAAAGAAGAAAAAAAGGCCTTTCTTTCATCATAAAGAAGTATGCTTTTTTCGTTGTTACTTCGATAAAATACTTAAATTACAAGCATATATAAGAGGTTGCAATTTTATACTATTGAAGTAAGGTACATTTAAAAAATTATCTCAAAGAGAAGGTTCCTTATATTGGATAACCTCCAATTGATCACTTTGACCTCAAGAAACAATAGAAAAAACAATTTCAAATCTAAAAAATATTGCATTTTGTAACAAGTTATATGGACTATTTATTTTCAAGATTTTTAAGTTTTGATAGATCTGCTCGATCTGTACCATTTTATAATTTTTAAGTTTCACAACTATGGATTAAATTAGATTTCTCTAGCCATCGTAAAGTTTATGACACCGGAACTGCATCTCTAAACAAATTTCAGAGGTGTACCCTACTTCTATAGTACAAAGAAGGCATTTTATACAAACCTCACCCATATCTAAAGGGGCAACCTTTCTATGCTTTCCCTACAGCATAGAAGTTCTATCATCACCCTTATCCAACCGTCCATTCTGAATGGGGGTCTAAGATTGTCCCAATCACAATGTCACGTTTGTACACTATTTTTTTTTTCTATAAACTATTTTGACACCAAATTTTAGACGTTTATTCTTCTATTAAACTCGCACTAGCGAAAAAATAAAAAATATATATTTTCAATAAAATAAAATGATCAAAATACTCTTAAAAGATTCAAGGGGTATTTTGGTCATTATATTTTATCGAAAAAAAAAATTTAATATTTTTTATAGGCGTGCCCGAATGAGAAGATGGAACGTACGAAATTTCATATTCATACAATTTGTATAAAAAAACTAAAAATAAAATATTTTGAGGTGTCGGATCTAAGATCAAACGGTGAGTGGCTCTCTTGATCAAAATTGGATGGGTAGATGGTAAGGAGAGGATAAAACTTCTATGGTGTAGAAGAAGCGTAGACACCTTTCCTTGCCTTCTTTAGAGTTTAGAACCCCCAACAAAGGGGTACTTTGATAATTTGCTCGGCAAAATGCCAAAACACTTCTACTTAGGATTCCAAACCCAGAAAAAGAGCTTTCGTAAAGCAAAATCAAGTTGGAAGTAGTTTATTGTTTGATTTCGAGACAAATAATATGAATACCACGCTTGCTTTGGATCCAGTTTAAAAAGCCCCAACTTGTTTGGCTAGAAGCCCAAAAATGAAATCTTCGATAAAGAGTTATTTGAACTACTTCTTAACGAATCTTGGAGAATTTTTTTAAACTAACTCTTTGCGATTTTTGGGCTTCCAGCCAAATAAGTTAGGGTTTCGGCGTTTTGCTGTTGGAGTCGAGGAAAAGGTCGAGGACTACGGAACATTTCCAAATTTGACCATACTGTTAATATTAATGTGATGTTGTCAATGATCCTTGAGAAATGTGAAACTATGCTGTCTTACTCAAAAAAAAAAAAAAAAGTGTGAAACTATGCTTCCCTGAGAAAATAGGGCTCGGGCCACAAATTGTGGCCATAGGGCTAATGCCGGGCCTGTTAGGATGGGCTCGGCCCTTCCTTTTTTTCTTTTCTCCCTAGTCCACATAGCTCTCGAATGTTTGAACAGGCAGTTCTAAGAGGGTGTGTTTGATAACACGGGAAGTTAGTTCTCAAAAGATGGAATTTGCTTGTTACTATTCATGTTCTGCGTTCGATAAAGGAAGTTCTTTGTAGTGTAGCTCTTCCTACTTTTACGCTTTAAAAAAGTTCCTTGTAAAACCACAGAACTTAAAAAAGGAACTTCATACGCCACTTCATTCTATGCCTCCCCCTCCTCCACAACTGCTCCTCCATGCCTCCACCTTCGCCGCCTCCCCAACTGCTTCACCTCATCAGGTACTTCTCTCTCTCTCTCTCTCTAACCCCTCTTCCTCTATCTCTAACCCCTCTTCATCAAGTGCCTTTCTTTTTCCCCTACAAATTTCACCTAAAACCAGAAAGTTCGTTATTGGGGAATTTAGGGGTTCTTTTGTGGACAATAAAACGTTGAAAATTATTAGAATCATTAGTTTTGGGTTTCAAAGATTAAATCATTAATGGAGAAAAGATGCGTCTTCTGATTTTAACGTTGTGTTTAGCGATATGCTAGGATAATTTATGGTTTTCTTTTATTGGGCATTTTAGGGCTTCTTTCGTGGACAATAAAACCAGAATGTTGAAAATTATCAGAATCATTGGTTTGGAGTGTGTTTTATTTTGCAGGGTTTCAAAGATTAAATTAATGATGTATATTACATTTTCTGATTTTCTTTTCATTATCTCTATCTCTTTTGTTTTCATTTGCTTCTTCTTCTTTTTTTGTTGAGTTTTGAAAATAGAGTACCAGTTTGAGAGTTATTAGAGTTTTAATGCTATGAACGAGTCTTGAACTTCTAGGATTGTAAGGACAAGGCACTGTTAGTAAAAAATAATGAATTTTTTTCACATATTTCTGGTTTTTTTTTTTTCCTTGTGAGTGCCAACATATTCAATTTCAAGAAGAATTTGTGAATGAAATGTGGTTTTTTTTTTATTAACATTTTAGGGTTCCAAAGGAAATTTACAAACCCTGCTGACTGTACCCTTGTCCTCGCCCTTCTGAATTGGGCTTTTTTACTTCTATCTATGAGAACACTTTCTTAATGATGAATAGATGCTTAAGAGGTCTTTTTTTTTTCAGACATTTTTTTTCAAATATTTTATGAATGGGTGTCTATGAGATTGTTTTTTATAAAAATGTGGATTTTGAGATGAAATTGTTAGTCTTTCTTTGGATATTTGAATGGATGCCTAAGCAGTCTTGCCTTTCAATCTCTTGCTAAATGCACTAAACATGCAATTTTTTAATTGAGTGAATGGATTCTTTCTAATTACTACATCAATGACATTAAAGATCGCCACAATCTAAGTGGGATTTTTTTTTTTATTGTGAAGGCCTTCTCAACATAAAAATGTAGTCCTTTGGATGAAAATGCAATCCTTTTTTCCTTTTTCTTTTTTTCAGATTGTTGATGAGTCGATATCCAAGATCTGTCTTTTTCTTTCTTGCTAGATGGGTCAAAGGTGCTATGTCCAAGATCTGTCTTTTTCCTTTCTTGCTAGATGGGATAAGTTATTCTGTTCATCACGATATATATCATCTGTTTTGCTTTAGGTTGTTTTTTTGTCAAAATTTAGTGTATTTGATCTGCTATTGACAACTGAAGGAATGGATAGTTCATGGCGTGAGATTTATTGAAGCACTTATTTCTAATTCTTTAGGGAGTTTTTCATTTACTCTATGTTGTCATTTTAGGGCTTGAATGATTGTTATGGGAAACTTGTGCTCTACATTTTGCAATTTTCACTATCATTTGCTAATATTCCAGCATGTTATCAAACACACGTACTTTGATAAGTTATTAAACCCAGAAACCTATATTTTTCTTCCCAGCAAAGATGAACTTCCAATTTACAGTTCATACTCTAACTTCCAGTTATCAAACGAGCACCCAAAAGGAACATGTAAAACATGTGCAAAATCTGAAGGGGCACCACGTGAATATTTTAAATTCTTCAAAGCTTACCCTAGGATGCGTAGGCTTGAAAACCAACAAGCAACGGCTAGCGCGAAATCCATTGCTCTAACGTGCATATGTTTTCTTGCATGTCTTCGTAGCAAGAAGTGACGGCTAGTTTTTTTGTCAGCCCTAACCCTATTAGGCCCGGGTATGACCTGACCAATCCCAATTAGGATTCGGCCCGTTGCCACCCTTACTTTTGAGTGTTAAATGTGAAAATATTTAGACCATAATCAAATTGAATAATTCGGAGTATAAAGGGATTGACATTCCGTTCCATGAAAATTTATTTTGAGAGAACCCTAGGGAACATTTTTTCAGGTTTATTTGCGTTTCATATGTTGGATGGTGTACTAAAAAAAAAATCCTTCCCAGAGGAGGCTCACATACGCGTAATGGGCCCTGTAGCTCGTAGTTGTCAAACTTAATATTAAAACGATTTACTTAAAAAATCTTCGATTTATGCTGAAATCCGTCAAATTTTTTGAGTTCATGACATTTATTTTAAAAAGCGTTTTGACTTTTTTTGTAGAACTATATAAATGGTGAAAAAAATTTATATAAGGTTGCGATCTTAAAGTGTAGAATTAAAGATGTACCGGAAAAAGTCATCTAAAAAGTTATTTTAATGTTGAAAAACTATCTAATTGATCATCTCAGCATCGAAATTTATGAATATGAAACAAAAAAAGATTGTAAGTCCCAGAAATAGTGCACTTTGCAATACATTATTGGACCGTTTATATTCAAGATTTTCATATGTTTATAGATCTCTTGATTTTAACTTTTTTTGCAGTTTAAAATTTTATAATTAGGTACAAAAATAGATTTTCAGATAATCCTAAAAAAATTTTATACCAAAATTACATGTTATGATAAAATTTAGAGGTACGCATTAATTGGATTGTTTAAGATTGCAACCTTATAGAAACCACACCCATAAATGATTGAAGGGAAATTTATTAGAAGAGAGTGCATATATTCCCTTACTCAAAACATCTATTTATGAATATATCTTTTAGTCCAAATTTTTTCAAAAACATTGTTTAAAGAAAATTTAGATTTTGAGTTTTGTGACACTTAGATCTAACCCTTCAAAAATTGGACGGCATCTTTTCAATCTCGAGGCATTAGTTCTTTTTAGAGTATAGAGTTAATTTCTGAAATTTTTTCACTCAAACTAGTCCATAGGTTGTAGAGATTATATCCTCAAAATTTGAGATCTAAATAGTATCTCTAGCATGTGTTTTACCTTATGGAGTAAATGAATAGTGTACTCTACTGATTGAAAAATCAGCTGAGTGGTTTCTACTCGCCAAGGTACTTGGGCTCGAGCCCTTGTCGGGCCCGATTTGTCGCAAGTTGGTTATCCAACTCTGGGATATTAAAAAACTCAAAAATCTTTAAAAAAATATGGATTTTTCTTGGGATATTTTATTTTTCTATCATTTTTGGCAAAGATTGGAATGTGTTTTGGCCATAAATACTTATTTTTATATTTTCTTATCTTTTTTGGATTATTTGAAAAAGGGGACAGCTTATATAGAGCCGAGGCTCTGAACAATCAAATTAGAGCCTACCTCAAAACTTTCACTAGAAGAGGTTGTTTTGATGCCTAAATATCCTCAAATTTATCATCTCGACATTAAGATGCATGGACATGAGAAAAAAATGGATTTCAAGTTTTGGAAATAATGTATTTTGAAAAATATTTTTGGACCATCAATTTTCAAGATTTTCAAGTTTTCATAGACCTGTCAATTTGCACTATTTTTTAAGCTTTAAACATTATAAATAAATATGAAAATATATTTTAAGGCTCTCGAAAAGATTTCTAGTATTGAAACCACATTTCTCGACACCATTTTAAGGCTATATTGAAACCACATTTCTCAACACCATTTTAAGGCTATCGCAAAGATTTCCAGTATTGAAACCACATTTCTCGACACCATTTGAAGGTAGGCTCTAATTTGATTGTTTAGAGCCCAAGCTCTATACAAACCTTACCCTTTGAAAAATACCCCCAATCATAAGTCGATTTTTTAAGATCTATTTTTTATTATTTTCTTAAATTGATTTTTTAAAATCTATTTTTTTATTATTTTCTTAACATCATTTTGAAGTGTCTTGCTTAATCTTACTTTAAACATACATTACCTTTTTTTTGGATTTTTTATATTTTTTTGAACTTTTTTTTGTTGCTATAGTACGTAGCACTAAGTAATCAGCTCGGGCCAGGACTTATTGCTTGATCCGAGACGTACTTTCTAACAATGGTATACTCCTGAGGGAGTAGTAAATCTTTTAGATTATCAAAATATACATAAGAAATCTAACTATTTAATATTTTAGACTTTACCCGTGTCTTTTGATTTAATTTTAAAATATCCATCAAATGAATAGCTCAAAAGGGTAAACTGTTAAATATTTGAAAAATGAGGTTATTTTGATAATTTCCTATAATATAAAATGGTATTTTTATACTTTCCAATAAAACTCAAAAAAATTCTTCTATATTATCATACGTTTCAAAATTCAAAAAAAATTAAAACTTGGATTTGAAATCTAATTTTGATTGTATGAAAAGTGAGATTAAATCAATAATACCTTTGGTATACGGTGGTCACAATTAATCTTGACCATTAGATGTGAAATTCAATAGCTGCAGTTATTCGATTGATCAAGCTCAAAGCTCAAAAAAAAACGAATTTCTCGATGTTTTTGACACACCCAAACTATAAGATTTCACATCATATGGTCATAAATAATTGTGATATCCATGTGTTCAAAGGTAAATGGCCTTATTGTATACAATCCCGAAAAAGTATACAATGAGACTATTTACCTTTGGTACATGGTGGTCACAGTTAATCTTGACAATTGGATGTGAAATTCAATGGCTACCGTTATTCTATTGACCAAGCTCAAAGCTCAAAAAAAGAATTTATTGATGTCTGTGACACACCAAAGCTATAAGATTTCACATCCGATGGTCATAAATAATCGTGACCTCGGTGGTAAGTGGCCTTATTGTATACAATCCCAAGAGAAAAGTTTATGTATGGATGAGGCTCGAAACAATCAAATTCAAGCCTACTTCAAAATTTTCACTAGAAGAGATTGTTTTGATGCCCAAATATCCTTAAATTGATCATCCCGACATCAAGATGCATGGACATGAGAAAAAAATAGATGTGAACTTTTGAATATAGTTATTTTGTAATGTATTTTTTGACCGTCAATTTTCAAGATTTTCAGGTTTTCATAGATCTCTTGATCTACACTATTTTTTGAGCTTTAAACTTAATAAATAAAGATAAAAATATATTTTAAGGCTATCAAAAAGATTTTCAGTATTGAAACCATATTTCTCGATACTATTTGAAGGTATGTTATAATTTGATTGTTTAGAGCCTAGGCCCTGTCCAAACCGCACTTTATATAATGTCGTCAAAAGTGCACAACTATATTTATATAATGTCGTCAAAAGTGCACAAACATAGTTGTGTGAACACGTCTTCTTCCAAAAGAATAGTTTTCCCTCCGCCCCTGGGCAAAAAGAAAGAAACAGCCAGAAAAAAATCTTTATTTCCTCTAAACCTAGCACCATTGCAAAGAGGAAGGAAGAGAGAGGAGTGACACTCACATATGAAGTTGGGGTGAGATTCAAATATTTGGGTTTGCTTTGACAAACTATTTGGTTCAAACAGGGCTTTTCTCCTCTTGTGCATAACTTTGATTAAACTTCACCTATTTTGGTTCTTTTCTTCTTTCACGGGCGCAAACAAGGCAATGATTTGGATTGACCACAAGTTTATATTTTAGTTTTTTGGTGTTTTTAGTTGCATTTATTTAATGAAGTCCTATTTTCTTGCTAATAACAAGGGTATATCTCGTGTTGTTGTTCTTGTTGTTAGTTGATACCAGTTCTTTGAAAAATGGACCTGTGATTAAGATCGAGTATTGTAAAAACCGATCTGCATCTGTGAATCGGCGGTCGGGATCGTTGTTTTATTGTGCAAAAAAGATAGTGAACCGGCAAAAAAACACATGCAGTGAACCGGCAAAAATATGTCCGGATAAGTGAAGCGATGTTTTTACCGTAACAAAATAACATTTTTTACTGTAGCAAATTGCTATTTCTCTTCTAGGCACAGGCGATTTCCTATATATATTGACAGAATCAGCAAAGGGTGACCAATTCCCGTATCAGACCATGCAATTCCGTGCCGGCCAGGTGTTTTCTAAGTCACTGTTTGATATGCTTGTGGTATGCTATTATTTTATTTTTTCAGTCTATGCTATCAAAAAAGCCATCATATTGTGTCACGACAACAAAAGGAAGCATATCATGTTGTTTGTGTTTAATGAAACTTTAGAGAGAAAGTGTGTCAAGTAAGCCCTAAACGATACCAACACATGGTGTAAGACTATTTTTTAGCATAAAACTGTTGTGTAATAACTTTATCATATGCGTCCAACAAAATAAAATTATGCTCCATCTGCAAATTGTGATCATGTCTTATGCCAACCAAGATATCCATTTTCTCATTCAAATCTGTTGAGCCAAATCTAAAATATTTATGATTTTCTAACTTTCCTTATTTTTTTGTCCCGATTGTTCTCCTCTGATTATTTGGACTAAAACTGATTTAATATTTATTTTTTGGTTTATTGTCATCTTATTATTTCCCAATTTCCTAGATATGCTACATCATAGACAGTAGAAACCATTGTCTCAAAATTTATTGGGTTAACTCGGAATTGCCAGGGTATTGGCTTGGGTCCAATACTCCTATGGTTTGGACCGGTTCCAGCATATTTTCAAGAATATTTTTTTAATTAAAAAAACTGCAAAGAAATCGGATGGAAGAGAACGGTGGGATAAGGCAGACAAAGTGGGAGGTCTTCTAGTTTTGTTCATTTACAAATTACAATAGCTATAAGTGAATGTTTATTTGATAAAAAGACCATGATGTAGAGTTATTTATATTGCATATTTTTTTCTTTGGGATTGTATGCCATACGATTATTTTTGCGGAGGTGCACATGCAGGGATTATTAAACTCACACTAGAAGGTCTAACATTCCTCATTTTACTTAAATAGAAAAGTCGTGAGATTAATATTAAGATATATCTTTTGCAAGGAAACCATATTTATAAGGACTCATTGAAGAAATTTAAATAATAAAAGGGAAAAAGGTTCAAGGAAAGGTTTCTATGTTTCCCTTACAGGATAGAAGTTCTATCCTCCTCCTACCATCCAGCCATCTAATTTTGATCAAGAGAGTCACTCACCATTTGATCTTAAATCCGACGTCTCAAACTATTTTATTTTTAATTTTTTTTATACAAATTGTATGTATATGAAATTTAGTATGTGCCATCTTCACGTTGGGGCGCACCTATAAAAAATATTAAAATAATTTTTCAATAAAATATAATAACTAAAATACCCTTTAAAACTTTCAGAGGTATTTGGTCATTTTTTTTTATTGAAAATATTTTTTTTATATTTTCGCTGGTGTGAGTTTAATAGAAAAATGAACATCCAAAATTTGGTGTCAAAATAGCTTATAGAAAAAAATTAAATATGAAATAGTGTAGAGACGTGACATTATGATTGGGCCAATCTTAGGCCTCCATTCAGAATGGACGGTTGGATAAAGGGGAGGATAGAACTTCTATGTTGTAGGGGAAACATAGAAAGCTTGTATATAAGGTTGCAACCTTAAAATGTAGAATTATAGATGCACCTCAAAAATCCATCAAAAAATGTTGTTTTAATATTGAAAAACCCTCTAATTGATCATCGAGATATAGGAATATAAAAAAAAAAAGATTTTGAGTCCTAGAAATAGAGCATCTCGCAACATCTAGATCATCCATTTTCAAGATTTTCATATGTTTACAAATCTACTTTATTTTAACCAATTTTTGGAGTTTAAAATTTTATAATTAGATATAAAAACAGATTTTTAGATAATCTTAAGAATTTTTTACGCCAAAACTACATCTTATGATAAAATTTGGAGGTGCACCTTAATTGGATTGTTTAAGATTGCAACCTTATAGAAACCATAACCTAATAGAAGTCTCTAATTAAAAGCAAGGTTTTTATAATTCAGCCGACTCATCTATTTATACGAGTCCTCCCTCCAAAATTCATCTTAGAGAGAGATTTTGGATCCAAATATTTTTGAGGGTTCACAATCTACATCATGATCAACATAACGCCAAAAAAAAAAAATTAAACTAAAAAATAATAATATTTGATGCATTTTTTAAGGGTTTGGTTTGTCTAAGGTTGAAGCCCTAAGCAATGCACTTTCAAATAGTATCAAAAGATGTTTCACTATTGAAAACTTTTATAATGATCAGAAAATTTATTTTCATCTCTATTTGTAAAATTTAAAGCTTAAAAAAATAGTATAGATTGAGCAGAACTATGAACGCAAGAAAATTTTGAAAATTGATTGTCTAAAAAATTCATTACAATATGCACCATTTATACGACTTGAAATCCATTTTTTCTTATTTTCATATATCTTGAAATCGAGAGGATTGATTTGAGGTTTTTTGGGCATTGAAATAACCTCTCCTAGGTAATTTTTTAGGAGCACCTTTTTTATGGTTTAGGGTCTCACCATTATATAAATTTTTTCCTTTTTTAAAAGATTTCGGTGGACCACTACATTTTAACATCAAGGGTACAGTTTGTATAGAGCCGAGGCTATAAACAATCAAAGTAACAAACAATGTAAAGAAATGTTGTTTCAATATTGAAAATCTTTGTGATGATCTTAAAATATTTTTTTTTAATTATAAAATTTAAAGCTTAAAAAATAGTGTAGATCGAGCAAATCTATGAAAAGTTGAATACTTGAAAATTGACGGGCCAAAAATACGTTACAAGATGCACTATTTCCAAAGCTTGAAATCCATTTTTTTCGCATGTCCATGCACCTTGATGTTGAGATGATCAATTTGAAGATATTTGAGCACCAAAACCACCTCTTTTATTGAAAAATTTGAGATGGGATTTAATTTAATTGTTTAGAGCCTAGGCTCTATATAAACTTTTTCCGAACATCAATCTTTAAGAAAGATTCTACCGCAGTACCTGGGCACACTTAACATCCAATCTTGTAGATGAACGTCAATCAATGATAGCCCCACCTAAATTCACAATTAAAATGTTAAAAACAATTTTAAAAGTTTTATTTTTTTAAAAAATATATATTTTCTTTTTTTCATATTCATACTCAACATATCTTACATTTTCAACAACTTTAAAACTTTAGATCCAAAATCCAACTTAATTTTGGAGAGGGGACTCGATTAAAAGGGTGACTCATAAATACATGGAAAAGGTTTATATACTTCCCCTATCGTACTTATGGTATGTTATATACTCTCACTATCCAGCTATCCAATTGAAATTAAATGAGCTATTGATTGTTTGATCTACATCCAACGTTCCAAAATATTTTAGTTTTAATTTTTCTACAAATCATATGAATTTGAAATTTGGTATATGTCATCCTTTCAATGGGACGCACTTAAAAAAATATTTTTGATTAAGGTATTTTAATCATTTGATTTTATCAGAAATTTTTTTTATATTTTTTTCTAAAATTTGTGTAAAAAATAAATAATAATCAGAAATATTTTTTTATTTTTTTCATGAAATTTGCTTCAAAAATAAATAAAAATAAAACAATATAGAAAAGTGATATATTGTGATGGACTCATCTCAACCGTCTATTCTATTCATTCGAACGGCCAGACATGGATAACTATATAAATTGAGCAGCGAGGTACAGAAACACCGAAATTACGTGAAGCTCCGTCCTTTTGGTCGAAGTTTTTGGCAAAAATTGAAAGGCTTCGCGATTCGACCGGTCGTGAACAGTCTCGCCATTGCATGTGATGTTTCAGGCTGGACCGTGTACTCTTTCTCTTTAAATCTTTGCTTTTCTGCAATATTGGCGTGCTAGGTTTACTGTAATCTAGTGTCTCAAGGGACTCTCCCTCTGCAATGGAGTACATAGACGAAGAAAGCAAGCCAAGGTTTCAGCTTCAATCTCAAAATTCTTCTCCTCAATCACAACCTACGCACCGTATCAACAAAACCCACGCAGCAATCTGCATTTCCATAGGAATCCTCCTCTTCTCTTACTCCATTCTTCTCCAGAATGGAGCTTCACAACTCGTCATGGTTTGGATCGCTTTTTCTCTTGTCGTAGGCCCATTTGCCCCAATCTCCGTTACAGGTGGTGATATCAGAGTTGGAGTTGGAGAACTCCTTGAAGAAGAACCAGATCATCAAGAAGTTGTAGAATCAAAGCGAAAACCTGCAACAATTAGGGCAAAATCCAGAAGATCTGAGCCTGCAGCCGCTGATTTCCAGTCCTTTAGCTCCAGTTCTAATGGCAATCAAGAAAAAATGACGAACGTCAGTGAGAAACTGGGTGATAATGGAGATCAAAAGGAAAATCAATGTGAAAAGGAATGGAATGATTCAGATCTTGATTTGTTAAGGAAACAGATGGCTAAGCACCCTCCTGGTAAGCCAGGGCGTTGGGATCTCATTGCTCAAGCTTTCAATGGAAAGCATGGACTGGAAAGCATCATAAAAATGGCGAAGTCTCTTTCAGAGAAGAAGCCTGGTGGCAGCGACTCGTATGCTCAGTTTTTGAAGCAGAGAAAACCTTTGGATGACAGGGTTTCAGACACTGAGAGAAAGGAAGAGAGTGAAAATGCTGTTTGGAGCTCAGGAGAAGACATTGCTCTTTTGAATGCCCTTAAAGCTTTTCCAAAGGAGACTCCAATGAGGTGGGAGAAAGTTGCAGCTTCAGTTCCTGGAAAGTCAAAGGCCAGTTGTATGAAGAGACTTGCAGAGTTGAGAAAAGATTTTCGAAGTTCTAAGGCTTCAGATACCTGATTTTTGTTCAAAATTCAAGAAATTGATATCTTTTTTCAGGTAATTTCCATTTCACGATGAGATTGTTCGTTGCCTTTGGATACTATGTCAGATTTTGCAGTTCTCATTTCAAATTCTTGTCCTTATTTAGATGTCTTTTTTTAGTTATAGATATTTTTGGAGTTGTTGTATTGGTCTTTGAGATTTATCAATTGTAAGGGAGTTGGGAAATTTTGCATGATACTCGTCTTTCCTGCAAGATCTTATTATGTTTCCTTTATTCCTCTATCCTTAGTATTTTATGTCATGGGTTATCAGTTTTCTTGCTAAGGAGATGAATGTGTGACTTCAAAATAACAGAGCAGAATGATGTACACTTTGTCTCGCTGGTGAAGAAGATCATTGAGCAATTTATTTACATTGTGCCATTTGTGTACTGATAGTTTCGGCAATTCTGTTAGACTTGATTTTGAATTGATAAATGGTTGTTTAATTCTGTTTTACTTCTGCTGATTACTGTTGTGGTGAACTTTCAGAGATTATGTTGCCATCAGAGTGTTACAGCTCCCTAGTTATTTTAGTCTAACCATGAAAATGGAGGAGCATTTATAAAATATTATTTCCATGGTTCCTCTTATTAGTGTTGTAATGGTCACCGCCTTAACCAACGAACGAACGAAGCCCACACTTCAATACTGATTGCCTGTATTTTGTTTTTATGCTGTTAACATTATATTTAAGGAAAAGAGAGATTACAAAGATACAAACCCGGGGTCACCGAGAGAGGTGACAGGGAAACAACGAAAAAGAAAATGGGAACAAAGGAAAAGACAGGAAAAGGAAAAAAACAGCCAACACAAAAATGGAAAATGCCTCCAAAGTAGAAGACGGCTAACACTAAACAGCAAATACATCAAAAACAAAAACAGCAAGAGCTGCACCACTTGGAAAGCGCCCACCGAAACCTCTGTTACTCCAATGAAGCTCCTTGTTTCACTAGTTCATCAGCTGTTAGGTTGGCCTCCCTCCAAGTAGATTCTAGGAGACCTTTATGCGCCTATTAAGATCATGAATTTCGTCAAGGATGTGCTAAAGTCTCAAGGTGGGTTGGGCTAAGTTCGATGCCCGATGGATGACATTCTCGGAATCCCCTTCGATGATGAGGGATGGAACCCAAGAGGGGTTAAGCTGCCTCACACCCTCGAGCAAGGCTCTGGCCTTAGCCTCAGTAGAGTCAGCTATCCCAATTGAGGAAGAGAAGGAGAGTAGAGAGATGCCGTCGGGGTTTGGAAAGATTCCTCCAATCCAAAACTAGCATACTTTTAAAAATGCTATTTTCAAATATAAAAAGTCGAGTAAGCATTATATATTTATATTTAGTTCACATTGCCTGTACTGCACAAGCTGCCTCATGATTCCCATGAGTGGCACATTGAGGTGCTTGCTAAGGAGAATCCTTTTTTCTTTTCTTTTTCTTGGTCAAAAATCTGTTACTGTAACTGCTTTAGGCTATGAAATCTTTAAAAAACAGTGATAGTATCATCATCATCATCATAGCCTTTTCCCAATTAATTGGGGTCTGCTAATTTGGGGCAATTATCATCATCATCATCATAGCCTTTTCCCAATTAATTGGGGTCGGCTAATTTTGGGCATGTATATTGAACTATTTTAAAGTATGGAGTGTGGGAGTATTTATTATTTCTATTTGACCTCCCAACGACAAGCCTCAATTCTGTTGTTTGAACTATTGCAGTTGAAGCGTACGAATGCAACACTAAATATGTGGCTCAAATGACTAAGTTGAAATATTATGACTGTAGCTTATGAGGAGTAGTTTCTCTTTAAAGGCATCACACCTATATCATAAGGAAGAAAAGTGTTCGTGTTCTGACAGTCTTTGATACAATGTAGAGCTCGAACCAAGAAATGCACAATATATTCCAACACTGGATTAGAATATTTTTCCAAATCCTGTACCTGCGTGTGTATGTTTCTATTCCCTTTCCCGGCCTCAGTTTCAACAGATTTATTAAAAACTCCTGAGAAACTTCATATGGTTGGGGGATGTTGATAAACATAGGTTACACCTTGTTGGTTGGGATAAGGTTTGCCTTCCCAAAAGAGATGGAGGTATGGGCATTCGTAGGCTTAGACTATGCAATAAAGCTTTGCTTGGTAAATGGTGGTGGAGGCTGGCTACCCAAGATAACCACCTTTGGCAGCTGGTCTTACACCATAAATACCACTTAGACCCCTCCCCTGGCTCCCTAATGCCTCCCCTTGTGGGAGATCTTCAAGGGCATGGCTCTTTATTCTCTCCGTCCTTCGGGATTTTCTCTCTCACATTCGGTTCAGGGTTAGAGAGTGGTACATGAGTTAGCTTTTGGTATGTGACCTTTGGGTTGGTAGATCCCACCTCAGGGAGCGATTCCACGACCTATACCTTCTGCCAGGGATAGAGAGCCCCTTGTTTCCCACCATCTTGAGGTCCTTGGAGGGGTAAGATTGTGGAACCCCAATTGTAGGAGGCCTCTGCTCTACCATGACATCCCCTGGTTCCAATCGTTCTTAGCCTTGTTACAAACTTCCTACCTGCCTATACCCATCCCCGGGTTTCGTTCCCTACCCAATCAAGCTTGGCTGGCAGATATTCCCCCCCAGAATTCAAACGTTCAACTTGCTGGCCATCCGCCAAAGAGTCCTAACAGTTGATCAATTGCAAATTGAAGGTCTCCCTATGCCTAATCAATACCTCCTTTGCAAATCAGCTGTAGAATCTAATGGACACTTAGTTTATCCACAATGAGTGGACTTCTTCCCTATGGGCCGATATCTTGCAGGGGCTTGAACAGGTTTTGAGTTACCCCGTCCTCCACTCAGTTCTTCCAAGGTGATTTTTCTTTCCAGGGCCCTCTGCTGGTCGTTTCCTGTGGCCTGCAATGGCTGTGGCCACCCTGTAGACCACTTGGATTGAAAGGAACAGGCAGATTTTCTATGGCAAGAAATGCACCCTCGGGGCTGTGCTGGACCGTATAAAGGCTACAGTAATTTTTTGGGCCAAAAACTCTAGGCATTTAAGCATTGTGCCACCTCGTTTTTCCCCCAATATTGGCCTGATGTCCTCAATAAATCCCGTGGTCTTCCCTTTGGAGACCTCCAGAGTTTGGTGGCATCAAGCTGAACTTCAATGGTTGCTTTCTTGGGAAACCCGGCTGTGCTGGCTACGGTGGTCTCTTCAGGGGTCATAATGGCCACAGTTCTATCCTACTGGGGATCTGTAGCAGATTCCATAACTATTGAAGCTATTGCACTGTTGGAAGGGATGAAACACTTTAGCCTGGATTGGTCTAAAACCCTCGTTGACGGCGACTCTAAGAATGCACTCACCTGGGCTGCTCGGACCTCTCCTTGCCCATGGCGTATGCAACATGTGTTCGATGAGTACTTCAATTTTTGTAGACCTCTACAGATGTCCTACCACCATATGAGGAGGGAGCCAAACCATCTTGCAGATGCCCTTGCCAAAGGCACCTCAGGACCTCCCAATGCTACTCTGTACTTAGGGTGGTATGTGTGTCTTATGCTTGCTGCCCACCTTTTTTTTCTTTGTGGGCTAGCTGGGTATCATTTGTGGTCTGCGAAGTGTACAGACCATTCTCCTTTCTGTATAGTACTGAGATAAACCTATTTTTGTGAGCTGAACATTGCACCCTGTACATGGGTGGCTGGTACTTCTTTTGTAACCTTTATTTTTAGTTTCAATACAAAACAGTGAACCTTCTTTCTGAAAAAAGAAAAAAGAAACAAGATTGGAATATTTTTCCTTCATTCAGAGTAAGATGATGGCTTTATTTAATAAAAAAAAAGAGGAGCTTTGGTATTAATATTTTACAGAATAAAAGAAACAATTGTAGATTATATGTGAAAATTTAGTATGTCCACTTTTTCTCTGGTACTTCTTACAAGAAACATAGTTAGGGGGATTATTCAGGTATCCTTAAAGAGTTCTTATGTTGTTATCATTGTGTGTACATATTGTTTTTTGGCATGGGAATGCCTCTCACAGTTAACTTCATCAAAAAAAAAATTGAGGAATGCCTCTCCCAATCTACTGCACTTGATGAATAAGATGGGCAAGTCTATTAATGGGTTGAGAAAGAAAAATGACTTTTTTCCCAAGGTAAATGAAAGAAAAGAAAATGACTGCAAGTAAATTATTTAAAATAAATGAAGTTCAGAATATGGGTATTCTTTACCTCTGATTCTGATTCTTCTATTGCCTGCTGTATGTAGATTGCAAGAGGCATGTGTGTGCCAAGAAAACATGAAATCATGACATAAAAGAAACAGAAAAGGAAGAATTGACTACTGAGAAATGCATGAGTATCTTCGCTAATATCTTATTATTAGGATGCAGATCTTACTCATTTTTAAATTTGGAAGCCTGATGTCCTTGCCATTCTGGTCATGTTTGGGTTTTGACTCAATTAGGTGATGTGAGCTGAGATTCTTGTGATGGGTAGTTAGGATATTGTTCATTACTTTGGTGTCTCAAGCCATGGTGTTATTGTTTCCTCTTCTTTTTTTTTTAGTGAATATTCCTCTCTGTATATACTGAATTTATTTTGAAGATCAATTACCACCCACAAAAACAAAGTATGGGACTGATGTATTTGGTTCAATTTGCAGGTAATGCATGGCCAAAGCAGAGAAATTTTGTTGTCTTTGAGAGCTTGATACTTCATTGATTGAGGAAGAAAATTTTCATGTATGCAGGCCAACCTTGCATACAGATCTGCATTTAGATGCATGGCATGCACTAGTGATGAGGTTTTTTTTTCTACCCCAGATTCATACAAGACATGGGCCTTGTGCTCTGAATCCCATTTGACCTGAAAAGGGCTCGCCTTTTAGTGTCTTTAGACTATACGAAAAGGGTGAAATGGAGTAATTTTTTTCTGTAGTTTTTTTAATTATTGTCTGATTATTTTGTAATGTTTTAGAATACGTAATTCCAAGTTTTAGTAAAACATATGGTATATCTTTTCCGAGAGAATTTCATTTGCAGTTAGCATGCATAATCATATCATAATAGAAGTATATTTATTTCGGTGCCAAGTCAATGCTCCCATGTTTCGATAAAGGAATGGGGTTATAAATGAATAATGTGAGGCAATTTCTATTTTTCCGTATAGGTGAGGCTCAGAAACAGCCCTCACCCATGAAGCACACGATCGTTCCAAACAATGTCATTTTCTACTCGTGAATGGACAAGGGACAGAGGGATTATCCTTTAATAAATGGTCCATATAAATCGAGGCCCGATATGAGAATTCATGCACCATTCAAAAAGGCAATAGAGGAAGGGATTGTCAGGTCATTCATTAGATGTATTGAATGACTTGGGATTGAATCACGAGATCCGAGAATTTCATTAAGAACTTTATGTTTAATCGATGATATTTTTACAACTTTTCATTTTAAAATCTAAAGGACAAGAATGATTGTGACTTCGTACAAAAAATAAATGCCCTCTTTATAAAAAAAAAACTTTATAGCAGAACAAGAGGTTAAAACTTGAACTTAAAAAAGTATAAGAAATCAAAGTGGAAATACTTATAAAATGAGATGTTGAACAGTGACAGATTACAGAGGAAAAGCCAGGAGCTGTACTCTCCCCGCCAGTCCTAGGAGTTGGTGGACCATAGCAGAAAGGCAAGATTTAGGCAAAAACGTTGCTTATCTTTTAGGAAACAAAATTCATAAAGAATTAGGAGACCAAGGACATTACGTTGGAGTAATTCCATTTAAGATGAAAATTCCATTTCAATTGATGCTTGCAGACGCTTACGCTCTGAAAATGTCAAAACCAATATTACATTATTATTTTTTAAAATGTGAACTATTGCTTCTTTTTTTTTTTTGGTTTGGGGTAAGTAATTGGAAAGAGGGGGCCTTACCCTCGGTAGGAGTTGAGCCTAGAACATAACATTGCAAATCATCAAACGTTAACCAATTAAACCCATGGCCTTTTTCTATATGTAAACTAAATTTACCTTTTTGAAAAATATAACGCAAATTACTTTGACCATGGTAGTTAGATTGCCACAAGCCATTAGTAATATACTTCTTTATATTTGTAAAGGTACGTTTATATTGGGTAGTGATTTCATACAATAGTTGTATCATACAATAGTTGTATCATAGTATAATGCAACAGCACTTCAAAAAAACCATGTTTGGGGCATTTGTATGACCCAAAATTTTGCCCACACTCTCTTCATCCCAATAATCAATCCAAAAAAAATAACAATTCAATTTGAATCCTAAACATGGTCAAAATAATCCCTTCCAAAAACAAACCTAGACCATTCATTTGGTGAATTTCACGATCTTAACCTTTATAAACTAAAAATCATTTTTTTTATTTTTTAACATTGTTCATCTAATGATAATAAAACCATCCCAAAAAATTGAAAATGAAAAAATCCTTCTAAAACTCAAATCTAAATATCTCACCAAAATGAACGGCCAATGTTAATTGGACTACAAAAATACTTTCTAAATTGTGTTTTTCAAAAAAAAATAAATTTATGATTGTTCGATAGAATAAAAAGAGTGTATATTTCAAAATTTGGATCAAACAAATGACCATACCATGGTTTTTGAAAGTTGTTCATCATATTATTACACATCCGTTGTATGAAATCTGCCCATTTATATTCCTTCAGGGAAAATGAATGTAATAGAAATGCAGGAAAAGAACCATTTTGCCTTAAATCATGAAGATGCAAACCACTGGTCTTCAAAATGTAGCATCACTAAAAATTTCATTGCAGCGAGCTCAAAAGCACTTGATTTCTGTTATCTGGATTCAATTACAACTCACAACTCACCACAGATTAAAGGTTAAAATTAATATCAAGGAAATGACTGATAAAGCCCACCTTTTCAATATCTCTCAAGTACATGAACTAATATTAACACCCACCATCCTAAACTGAATTAGTAATTATGTACAGAACAAGTCATACATCGCAGTACCATGTAATTTACAAAAACAACTTTGTAACAAACAAGGGAACCCCCAACCAAACATAAAGCCAAATTGGGCTCCCTAACAAAACCGCTGGTATTATCATGTTCCAGTGCTGAAGGAACTCTGCTTTTCTTTCACAGTTTTTACATGGCCACGGTGATGAGTTTCTCAATTGGCTTCTGCACATGTAGGATTATGGATAGTAAGGTTAGAGACAAAAAAAACCAACATTCAAAGAAAATGTTGTAATTCAGGTATTAATATCATTTTGGTATCCTTGTATGGGTTCGTGAATACCTCTACTATTGCATGGTGCGCCCAAGGGACTTGCTCTGTCTCTCTTTGAGACACACATGCACATGCCCTCAGTAGAGCATATCGAATCCCCCAGCAAACACATTGCTTACTCCTGGAATGAACAAATGAACCTCAAGTCCCCATAAAAGTGGTACAAGCTTCTCATGACACCAAGAGTTTGACCTCCTCTTGCAAGCTCTCTTCACCTTAGGCTTCCTGTTGCTCACCTCTCTTCAATTTCATCAATGACCCGAGCTTAATAGATTTGAGTCCCAGTGACTCCCTCAAAGTAGGCTCCCTTTCTTCCTCCTCCTGCTCCTCCTCTTCCTCCTCCCCCTCTGATTCACTAATGGATTCCTCTTCATCGCTTGAGTCTTTCCCTTCAAAAAGTTTCTTGCCTGAGATGTTCCTTGCCTTTCTAGGTCGGCCCCGGCGTCTTGACACATGAACTTCCTTCTCACCTGCACACAGAATCATACAATCTTCAAAACAGAAATGTGACTAATCACATTAGCCAGTACTTCTATATGCGTACATAGGCATACATGCAAACAGGAAAGTAAAATATACACAACCCAGGTTCAGGAAAAACATATTCCACAGGGTTTTCAGCTGTATGATTGGATCTTGTTGGAATCTGTTAATATCTCATCAGATTCCATAATAGAAAGTTGAAGGATAGTTTATCAACTGCAATCCAATTGGATAATGAAGTGCTGACATATTTTCCATTTCTTACAGAGGTTGTGTACACTATACCCTTTCAATATGCATGTATTGGAAAGTATAATATACACAAAGTATACATCATCAGGTTGCCATACACACACAGGCCATCAGGCTTGTCACACGTGCGTGCACACACATATTTGTCTGCCCAGGAGAATGAAGTCAATTATTTTTTCACATACGAGCCCAGCTCTGCTTGAAACTCACATCAACTGGCTCATTTTTGGGTCACATAATTCTTCATATAGCATACCAATACTTAATGCATGATATGCTCCAAGGTTTAGATGTCGAAATACAGTGAGTATGATACGTTCACTAACACAAACAAAGCAGTGCCAGCCTGTTGGTACCAATATTGACTCACAATTTCACACAAGTGAGAGACACTAGCATTCCACTACTCTCTAGCCACTATGGCATTTTTCACAACAGCCGGATTATGGTCACTTTATTCACACCCACAATTTTTCAAATTATTTGCAAAGGTAAATAAGAGTCTTCTGCCCCTCCATGGCTTGCCCAGGGTAACAAAATACCATACAGATACACTATTTAGATAACAAATTTCTACAACTCAACTATAGTTCAGAAGATGCTCCAATTTGCTCAACAGTTCCATGAATTCGAAACTAGAGAAAAAAATCATGTGAGAAACAATTCTAAATCAAGTACTTTTCCATTAGATTTATGAGAATATAGGGTCTCACAAAAATACAAAGTTCTAATAAAAAAGTGAGTGAAAAAACTTTCATTACAATAGCATGCATTGGAAGGTCAAATAACATCGACAGGGTAGATATCAAAGCAGAGCAAGCAAGACAACAGAAATAATAGAGTTCATCTGTTTTAATATCAAACAGAAATCATCACAAATGCTGCAGGATATATGAAGCTCTATGTGGACATCAGAACCTCTTGGACCGAAGGTTCCAGAGGCTGTTTCCCATTAATTACAAGTTCACACTTGATTAGGCATATTTGATATTGAAAATATATTACCCGTTCATCTAGATAGTAAGTCTGCTCAATAAAAACTAGAAGTAAATAAAGATCTAGCACGACAAATTGAAGCATCAAGAAGAATGACAAAGTAATACAGGCATCACCTTGGAAACCCTCATTCTTTGAGCATTTTTCACGTAAGAACTCAATGAACTTGTCATAAGGACGCCAACCACTAGGATCCTCTTCTGGATTGAATTTCTCTGCCCTTTTCTTTACATCTTTTATACTAGTTCCAAGGATATCTATATGTTAGTATGATGAATTATGAGAAAAGTAAACTTCAACGGCTAAAAATGCTAACAGAAATACTCACGTGTCATTAACATCTGAAGCAGGAAGTCTAGACACAAAGTGAAGTACAGCTCCCTCCAGAAAGGGTAAGTGTTTTGGTACATCAGTGAAGGCAAACACAATCCCATCATTAACAATCTTTAGTATGTGTAACCTATGGATGTTGCGCGCAGCACCAATGAATGTTGCAGACAGACGAGAAGCAAGTTCTTTGCATTCAGCAATAGATTTGGCAGCCAAGGACTCATCATCACTTCGCGAAATCTCATTCACATGCCTTTGGAAGGCCTAATCAAGAAATAAAAAAGGTCACACTACATAAATCAGCTTTAAAAAAAAAAAACTAATGATGATCATGTATGATATGATATTGAATCAACAAAATAACAGCTTTTTAGCAATGGTACAGCTCTGCAGGAGAAATACCCTTTTTAATGCTCCCAGAAACAAATTGGGTATATCATCTGCAGCAGATTTCTTTAGAACAGTAATTAAATGCTTGATAGTGTCCTCAATGCTTTTCCCATGCATAACATAATGCGCAATGATCTCCGAACCAAGAAAGTCCTGCACAAACGTACACATTCACCTTCCATGTAAACTTTTTACAGTTAGGTATTTGAGCTTTAAGGTACTAGTTTGTGACATATCAATAAATTTCTGGGGGAAAAAGGAGTCAAAAAGTAAAAAATGAATGAAAACAATGACAAAATTAATGGTGCACTAATATGAATACACAAAAAGAATGATAGAAATAATGGAAATAGTTTTCAACCAGCAATTGACGCACCTCAGTTATACCTCAGTAGCTGCATCATTGCCCAAGCAAGAATGATAGAAATAATGGTCCAAAGATTAAATGTTTAAAGATATTTGAAAAGACAACTTAAGTAACATTGTGTTCAACAGTAAGGAGTAGAAAGGTACTGCAAGAACCACACCTAAAATAAACAGAATATGCAACAGCTCCAGGTTTCCAGTTTTACACAACAATTTGATTCATGATATGGAATTAAATTTTGTTTTAATTCGGGGCAAATTGACACCAATAGAAACTGAAAATACTCATCACACCAGCCTACTATCACAGAGGAAGACAACTGTTCCATAGCCGGCCAACAATTCTATCCAAATATATATATAAATGATTGCCAGTCATTTGCAAAAAGTCCCATCTTGCAGATGCTCTTGGTTCTACCTGATGTGACTAAACTGAACAGCACCATAAAATCTACAAGCTCTTTAGAAAGCATAAAACCATAATGTATTAAAAAGTGCCTCAGCTACTAAGAAATATTACTCAAGCCAAGGCATGATTACGAGTGTCTTGAAGCTGCAGTTGAGGCATGTGCATCATGGAAGCCCACCCCACAATGCATCTCAACCAGAGCAAGTGAGCATTTTCAGGATTTTGTAAACTTTAAACAAAAGCCTCTCCAAGCTACCAGATCCAATCTTAATTCTTTGGAAATTGTTATATCCTCAGGGAACATATCCATACATTTGCATCCCCCGAGGCACGAACCATCCATCCCAAAGATGGATGTAAATGGTGGTCCCTCCAAAAATAAAAACTTAAAACCAATGGTCTACATATTTCCTTAAAAAAAATATATATTCTTGAAGCTGTCTTCAACCAATTATTATTTTCAGTTTTAAAATTTAATAATCTCCATGTTAGAAATTATATATTCCTTACAAATTAGTGCCAAAATCCATTTCAAAAATGGATATTTTAGAGGGGGCAGATTTCCACATATCAGTTTGGGGGACTCATGGAAACCGTGTCCTAATTCTTTTTCCGTTCAAATCCCTCTTTGACCGGCTTGGTCCTATAGGAGGACACTCTGGTATCCAAAGTTCTTCTTAAACTCAGATTAGACCTTATTCAACCTGACTTGTAATAGTCTACAACTCAAGTGAACAGACCATCTCAACTTTCCGCTTTGCTCGAATCTTATGCAGCTATGCCCTTGTCATTTTCTCTTTCCACTCCCTGGCATCTATAGTTGTGTGTGTCTCCATTGTATCAATAGAAACGAATGTACAGATCCTGTTCATGTAAGGTCATCCCTTGGTATCTATAGTTTTGCACAATGGCCCCAACTTCTTATCATTACATGGGCAATCTAATGGAACCTCTCAGAAAGAGAAATGCAGATTACAAGACATAACAAGATAATCCCAAAAACATATTAGACCATCATATCTGTTTGCCTAACATAATGCCCGAAGAAGTTCTAAAAACACTATTGGGTCATCATAGATGTAGGCTTGCACCACAGGCCCTCTTATCTTACAATGCACTCAAGTCAACAGTCAATATTTATATACAAAAAGATAGGAATACAAATACTAATACACAATAATTTGAAACGGTTGCCCACAAGCACACAATTGTGTATGTAGTTAACTTCTGTCATAACATTAGATTTGTTCCGCTTCACCATTCCCTTTGTTGAATGTTGCATCTCTTTGAGTAGATTTGAACTGGAGACAAATGATTCTGTCGATCGATTACCTAGTTCCGGGGCTTCTAATCCAGTCATGCAAGGATGGGGCCAGTGACTGGGAATTAGCTTGGCTACTTTGAGAGCAATTCAGTATGATATAAGTTATGAACTCCAAACAAGGCAACAAAAGCAATACTTGTGCATTATAAGTTCAATGAACCAATTGCAACGGTGGGGTGCTGAGTGTTCAAATTAACAGCATCACAAAACCAACAAAGAGCCACAATTCAATTATCAATTACTAAAACAAAATAGAGAAAAAGATGTGTAACTAGTTTTGCCATATCATAGAAGCATTCAATAATCTACCTTAGGAACTATATCATGTGTAACTAGTTTTGCTGCTGCGGTCATGACCGAATCCCGCAGTTTTGTCACGTCAACATACTCTTCGTTGACATCTTCATCTTCCGTATCATCTATGATATAAGCCCATCCATGAATTGATAACCCACAAAAGCCACAAGAAAGAAGGTAACACTTCAAAACCTAACATGAAATATTGTATAGACAGGAAAGTAACATAGAATAAAGCCCATGACACAAGGCCATCCACCTGATATACTGAATTGTTGTTCGCTAAGCCTCCAAAACTTTTTCAGGATGGCTATGTCTGGATAGAACCCTAAGGCATGTAGCTTTGAAGGCGCAAGCTTCGCCTTACTGAACAAGCACCAAATCTCTGCAAGTATAATGCAAACCTAATGCAGAGAAAAAATTTGTACAATCATCAAGTTTTCGTTTGTTCAACATCATATTTGGACATTTCAGTCCCTCATATTTATCAAAATAGAGAACATAAAAGTTCCGATGGTTAAAAGTAGTAAAAAAGTTTGACTGAGGACTCACTCTGCTACTAAGGGGACCTCGAGTCCTCCCTTCCTCCCAAGATTTGAGTAGAGTGTCCAGAAAATGCTCTAATTGTTCTAACAGGGTAGTACGTTTAGCCAAAAGAGAGGATATAAGTGCTTCAGCAGGATTTTCAGTATCAAGAGACTTCCTAGCCCATAGTATATGCAAGTACATGTTGAGAAGCAGAAGACTGACAACCTGGAACAAAACCGACTATCAGTCATTAAACCATATCTTGATAAAGATGTTTCTTTTCTTTATATTGTTCCATTGCCAAGATCTTGACATACCTCATCACCTAAATCATTATATTTCTTCAGAAGACCAACCATATCTTCAAACAAACTCTCATTTAGTGGGAACTTTTTACATTGAAGCATATAAAGCCTTCGTAAGCTTACAAGTAATGAGTAATCATCATCAGCAACCTGTAAATGATGATATGATACTTTATCTAATTGTTTAGCTGACATTAGAGATAAGCATTGACCCTCAAACAGAAGACTTACCTCAACTTGACTAAAGACAGATGTAAGCTTTAGAAGCGATTCATCCTCGAGTTCTTTGAATTTATTTTGAGCAAAATCTTGCAAATCTGCTTGACTCTCACGGGCACAGAAGTCAAGAGCCTTGATGCCAGACCTCAAGATTTCGATCTCCCCATGTTTGAAAAAAGCCTCCTTTATGAGTTGGAGAGTAGAGCAAAAATTCTGAAAGGGAGAGATACAAATGTCACCACTAGGTTCATCGATCAATAAACAAGGGTCAAACTATAAGCACCAATAGTTACCGGTTCTTGCCGTTTGAGTGAATAGAGCTCAAGTTTTAAATATAAAATTATTTCACATAACGACGAAACTTTTGTTTTGTCCGCTATAAACTTGCGTAAAAGCTGTGGATAGCTCTTTATTAAGGCAATTGTTATTTCATGTCTGCTGTTTTCAAATTCTTCCTGTTAATTCAACAAAACAAAGTTAGTGACATAACCATCAAAGCACTGTCATCTGAATTCCAGCCCACTTCTATGATAATGAAACAAAAATAAATGCAGGTTCATATTAGAGAGTATATCCAAGGATTAATCAACATACAATCAACATAAAACCAATGACTGAATATTAGAGCGACAAAGCATACACGGACATTAATTCCACACAAACATCTTGCCTCTTTTTTTGGTTTCTTATGGGGAATAAATAGGTACTACTGAAGGAAACCTTATGAGAAGTTCAACATGCACAATTTACGGTACAAACAAAACTAAAGGTTCATCTCAGAGAGTATCCAAGGTTTAATAAACATAACACACATATTGGATGTTAAAAAATAAAGCTCACATGGATCTAATTCTGGATCAAAGGCTGAGCGTTTGGGGTGGACATTAACTCCAGAAAACTGTTTATGAAGCTCAATGGGTTACGCTGGATCAAAGGCCCGCTTCAACCTCCACGCGCCTGCCTCAACCGCCTTTTCTCCCCCACCTGTCATATTCCGATCGGCTACTTCAGGAGGAGCAGCTGAGTGCCTCCCAGCTGTCCCAGCCATAGCCTGACCCTTCATTACCTGCCCTCTAGGTGGCTCCCGTGGGTGAATCCTCCCTCCCACCTACCGCAAGTGACCTACCCCAAGTGATCTTGGGGTCCCCCACCTTCTTGTTGGTGCTGTCAAACCCGGCCCATGCACCTCCTTCGTTTATCCCAGCCTCTCCCCTGCTCCCGGCCTGTTACCCGATCCTCCCGAGCCCCGTGACCCCAACCGACTTGAGACGTCTTCTCACTGCCAGCTGGCTCCCGTCCAAGCTTTCTTCGAGAGGGTTCCTACACCGCCTTCGTCACCTTGCCTTGCCTTCCCTTTGTCTGCCTCCCCAGCCTCTTCGTCTGTGCGCCTGTCGGCCACCCCTACCCACCCTCCTGGGTCCGCCCCTCCTCTTTCGGGCCTTTCCCCCCCCTCCCATCCCCTTCCCCTCTACCTCTGAACCTCGAGCCTTCGCCTGCTCCCCCCTCCGGCGCCCTCTCCCCTACCCCCTCCCCGCTGGTGCTAAGCAGTGACCTTAGCCCTCCTCAGGTCCTATCTACCTCCCTGCGGATAGGCTCTCTACCCCTCCCTATTCTCTTTCACTCTCATTCTACCCTTTTAATCTTGACCACCCTTTTCCCTTTGGTATAAAGCCTTCTAACCTCCTTAAGATGAACCGAGACTTTTTTCCTCTGGGCATCGTCACAGCCCAATCACAGGACCCGTCTCCTCCATACCCGGCTACTGTTGCTGATTTATTGGCCCCACATCTCTCTTTTACTCCTCACCTTGTCCATATCCATAGGGTCCACACTATTCACTATGTCCGGTCCATGAACTCCCCCTTCCTGCTCTCCTCCTACACCTCCGTCCAGACTCATCAATTTCTTACCTTTGTCCCTACCATCTCCCTCCTCCCCATTGAACTAGCCCCCTCACCCTCTCCTTACCCTCTTATCCCTGGTGCTCTTGTTCAGGAGGCCATTCCCAACTTTGACCCCCCTCAGCACCCCCTCTCCTTTCCCCCCCCTGGCCTTCCTCTCCCTCCTGAGGTGTCCTTTGGGAACTCAGAGATTTCTCTTCCGACCCTGTCAACCCTTGTCCGGATCTTCCTTCCCTCCCATCCCTAACTACTGATCTCTACCCTGCGGTCCATCCCCCAACCCCCTCTCCAGGAGTTCCCGTTACGCATACGCCTGCCTCCTTGGAATCGCAGGCCGATTCAGAGGCAGAAGATGACACTGAAGACGGGAATTTCTCAGAGGAAGACAGGATGAGAACCATGTACAAGATTATGGGTTTTGAATATGAGGGACCAAAAGGCCCTGCACACAAATTCCTTACGATAGATGCGCAGAGAAGGATGCATGTGAGAATCAGAGGGCAAAGAGAGCTTTGCAACCTCTTCTCCTCCCTCCCTTTCCTTGGGAAAGCTGTTGACTTCTCCCCCTCCAATTCCACCCCAGGTTGCCCGAGGAGGTCCCCAAGATTGGCTTCCTCCCTTGCTCTCATCCCTTACAAATGAAACTTTTCATTTGGAACATTAGAGGGCTTGGATAGTCCTCTAAGAAAGATGTGGTCAAAGCCTTCTCCCTCAAAAATTCCCCTACCATCTTGGCCCTTCTTGAAACCAAACTTCCTAACCCAGACCTCCCGCTCATCCGCAAGATCTGGGGCAGGAGACCTTGCCAGTGGGTCTCATTATCGGTGAACGAGGTATCAAGAGGGATCTAGGTGGTCTGGACCCTTCTAACCTCTCTCTCATCTCCCACTTCATAGGTGAATTCTCTATTACCCTTCTTCTCTCCAACATCTCTGATGGTGTCCATAGGAAATTTTCTGTTGTTTATGGCCCTAACTCCAACACCATCAGACAAAGACTCTGGCTGGAATTAGACCATATTGCTTCCCTACCTCACCCCATTTGGTGTGTGGGGGGCGACTTCAATGTGGTTCGTTGGTCCCACGAGAGAAATTCCTCTTCCGCCATCTCCCCGGAAATGAGGAACTTCTCATATTTCATTAGCCATAACGAGCTGATTGACATCCCCCTCAAAGGATGCCAATTTACTTGGTCCAACCACAGCACCAATCCCACCCTCTCAAAACTTGATAGATTTCTCATTTCTGTCAATTGGGAGGAACAATTCCCTACTTCGTTGTCTTTGGCCCTACCCAAGCCTACCTCAGACCATTGCCCTATCCTGTTGGACACAAATGCTATTACCAGGGGTTCCCATCCTTTCAGATTTGAAATGCATTGGCTTCTAGAAAAGGACCTACCTGCCCTTGTACAAACATGGTGGAACTCCTTCGATTCTCAGGTTTCGGGGAGAGCGGGCTACTTCCTCCAAAAGAAAATTCAGCTTCTTAAATTTGCCCTCAAATCTTGGAGTTTTAACCTTCCTGTTAATTTTTCGCACTTGGTGGCTTCCCTTTTGGAAGCCATCAAGAACCTTGATACCATTGAAGAATCGATATCTCTTAATGCCTCTGAACAGAAGCATAGATCCAAGTCCAAATTAGAGTATCTCACTACCGTAAAAAAAGAAGAAATCTACTGATCCCAGAGATCCAGGGTCTCTTGGTTGAAAGCTGGGGACAACAATACTGGCTGTTTCCATCAGATTGCAAATTGTCGTAGAAGAGACAATGCCATCACGATGTTGAAAGTCAACAATTCCTATTTGACCCAGCCTAATGTTATTCAACAAGCCATCCTCGATTTCTTCCAGAACTTGTACTCTGCTCCCCCTGAACCTAGACCCAGATTCTCGATCCTTGACTTCCTGACTCTCAATGTAGCCCAAGTTGCTTGGCTTGAAAGGCCATTCTCAGAACAGGAAATCTTTGAAGCAGTCAAAGAGTTAGGAAGTGACAAGGCCCCTGGGCCGGATGGTTTCCAGGTTGCACCCTTTAAGGAGTTCTGGGATATTGTTCATTTAGACTTTAAGTTTTTTTACGAATTCCTCCACAGGGGGTATCCTAAACAAAGCTATGAATGCTACTTTCCTTGCCCTCGTCCCTAAACAAGGAGCTGAGGAAATAAAAGACTTCTGACCTATTGGCCTCCTCAATTTCTCCTATAAGATCTTGGCTAAAGTCCTTGCTTCTAGGCAGCAACATGTTCTGCTTTTTATCGTTTCTCCTTCTCAATCTACCTTCATCAAAAGCAGAGAAATCTTAGACGGGATGAATGTGTCCACTTGAGACACCTATCCAAGAGACCAGGACTCATCTTGACTGAGAAAAGGCTTACGAACATGTCGACTGGATAGTCCTGAATGAGTCCATGGCCAGGGTAGGTTTAGGGGAGAGATGGAGGAAGTGGATGAGCGGTTATTATTCAAACCCTCATTTCTCTATCCTCATCAACAGAACCCTAGTTGGCTATTTTCCTTCATCGGGGGGCTAAGACAAGGAAACCCCCTCTCACCCTTCCTTTTTGTAATTGCGGCTGAAGTCTTCAGCCGATCCATCTCTCGGGTCTACCAAGCTGGCCTCCTATCTGGTTTCAAAACCAATAGGCACGAGCCCATAGTTTCCCACCTACAGCATGCAGATGCCACCCAAAAAGAAGTCAACACCCTCAAAAGATTCCTCCGTTGCTTCCAATAGGATACTGGGTTTAAGATAAATATGGATAAATCCAGTATGTTGGGTGGGGGTTGCCTTGTCAACTGAACATATTAGAACTCATTCCAGATTGGGAATGTAAAGTCCAGGTCCTCCCTACCACTTATCTTGGGCTCCCCCTGAGCATTGGTAAGCCTAGAAAGCAGCAATGGCCCCCGGTCCTTGACAAGGTTGATCGCCGCTTGGCAGGATGGAAGGGAAGATTATTGTCGATGGCGGGCAGAAACACCTTAATTAAAGCAACCATAGCTAACTCCCCAACCTACTTAATGTCGATTTTATATATGCCGGCGCAGGTGGCCAATCGACTCAACCAACTCATGAGGAATTTCCTATGGTCTGGCCAGGAAGATAAGAAAAAGTTTCATCTTGTAGCCTGGGATAAGGTCTGCCAACCTAAAGACCAAGGTGGCTTGGGGATTAAGGTCATTCGCAAACACAACGCCGCCCTGTTAGGAAAATGGTGGTGGCGTTTAGCGACTCAGCCAAATGCACTTTGGGCTCAGGTGGTTAAGCATAAGTACAATATCTCTTTACATTCCTGGCTGCCAAGAACACCGCAAAGGCATAATGGGTCAGGTGTCTGGAAGTCTCTATTAACAGTGCTGGCCACTTTCAAGAGCCACACTAGGTTCCATCCGAAAGAAGGCTTTAGGGTAAAATGTTGGCAGGACCTTTGGTTAGGCCCCTCCCCTCTTTGTGATGTCTTCCCATCCCTTTTCTCTCTTGCACGAGACCAGGAGTCTTCAATTGCCCAAGAGCTCTGCTGCTTGGGAGGGCGTCGAGTTTGGAATCCCTCTTTTAGAAGGAACCTAACTGAACAGGAAACTAATGATTTCCAGCGGCTCTCGCATACCCTCCATTCTCTCTTTCTCCTCTCCCATGGAAGAGATGAACTTGTCTGGACCTTGCCTCCCTTGGGTAAGTTCTCAGTTGCTTCTTTCTATAAAAGCCTCACACTCTCACCTACATCCCATGAGGCGTTCTCTAAAATTTGGTCCACTATTGCTCCACCAAAAGTGCAGACCTTCCACTGGCTTGCTTTCTCACATAGAGTCCTCACAGTGGATAACCTACAAAACAGAGGGCTCCCCATCTCGAATAGATGTGCCCTATGTGAATGTGAGGAGGAAAGTAACCATCACATGTTCCTTCATTGTGAATTCTCTTATGACCTATGGGGTAGGGTATTGCAACTTTTTTGTATACATTGGGTTACCCCCCCCCATCCCTTTCCCCGGTAAAAGCCCTCCTAACCTGCAATTTTGATTCTTGCTGGCCTAAGGCAGATCGAATCCTATGAAAGGCAACTGTAGTTGCTACAATTTGGGTTGTGTGGCTGGAAAGAAATTCCAAAATATTCCGAGGCTCTAAACTTCAAACTTTGGCACTCTTGTCCAAGGTAACCACCCTAGTTACTTTTTGGGCTTCTAATCATAAATTCTTCGTCGGAATTCCACGGACTTTCTTCCTCACCCATTGGGGAGACATCCTTCATCATCAACCACAAGGGGTTAGTAGGTCAAGCATCTGGCTACCACCAACCCAAGGAAGCATCAAACTAAACTTTGATGGTTGCTCCTTGGGGAACCCAGGTCCAGCAGGAGCAGAACGAGTTTATCGAGACCACGAAGGCAATATACTCCTCTCTATCTCTCAATTCCTGAGCTTAAAGGACTCTCACCAACCAAAGCACTAGCCCACCTTATAGCTTTGAAAAACTTCAACCCTTCCTGGGGTACAACTCTGATAATGGAAGGCGACTCCAAAAATGTTATCTCTTGGGCTAGCAGAACGTGTGATCCACCATGGCATTTGTCCCCATTTTTTCATGAGATTCAACACATTTGCAGGGCTATGGACGTCTCATAGTAGCATACTTGGAGGACGTCCAACAATACCGCAGATCGACTGGCAAAGGAGGCCGCTAGAAGTCGGGGTCAGGCCGCTCAAACTTAGTCCACCTCCTTTTTTAATCTGGACCACCTCCTTTCTTTTCTTTCTTCTGCTATGTATTTCTCGTTGTGGTTGGCCTAAATGTGGATGGGCTTTTTTATAAGCCCTTCCCCTGCCACTTTCTTTTTTAACTGTTTGTAAAGGGGTTTTCTTATAACCCATTTTTTGTAAAGGGTCTGCTGACCGGATGTTTACCGAGAGTCCCTTCTAGAGGGCTCTCTCGGACGTTCACTACACTGTAATTTCTCTCTACAGCAATACAATCGTTAACATTTCAAAAAAAAAAAAAAACAGGAATTCATATCAAACGCAAGCATTGGATCAAACTGAAGCCAGAAAGGCCATGTCTTTCCATACCCTCTGAGCTTTTGTGTGATGAATTTTCCGGTTATCATTGGCGGGAACAATTTTTTCTCCAGTAGCCTTCTTTACGGAAGCACAAAGGACCCTAACCAAGCTTGTTGCATCTGTATCAGTAAGCTCAATCAGTGGATTCTCATCCAGAAGCATAGAGATAATACACTTCCAATCCTGCAAGCATACGTAGTTCCATCCAAGAAGAACATTAGAATACAGCAAGCACCAGCACTGCAAGCAATAACAATGTCCAAAAGCAGAATTTCTTATGATATTATCTTTCTACTGCATTTTAAAAGTCGGAATTAAAAGGGCAAAAAACTCATGCCATAAGAGCATACTTTCATGGAACTCATGTCATCCCAAACATCATCAATGACATAGGTACTTAGAATGGGATCGGAGGAAAATTCCCTCAATATTTGCAACATTCTTCCTAAATGAATCTCAGAAGATTCAGCACCTTCACCTGGGAAAAAAAAAAACTTGGTATCAAAAAATATTTAATTTTCCAGAGCATTTGAAACTTGTAAGTTTTAGTGTGAAGAGCACCACTTGGAAAATCTAGGGATACAATACCATTAGATACTGTATGAGAGCTGCTAAACTTTTGAGCAATCAAGTGATCATAGACTAGTTCTCCAACAGCACGCCTGATGACTGGCTCTTCATCAATAAGCAAGTCATAAAGTGGGCCAAGTTCATCATCAGATAGAAGTTGATGCCTACAAAATCCCAATGAAGAAAACTGTAATGTAAAAAAATGAAAAAGAGCACATTATTGGAATAGTTATTATGTGCTTTTGAAACTTAATATAGATTTTTACCTCAACAGTTGTTTTAAAAGTCCTATGGCAGAAACAGCCACAGAAACATCAATGTCATCAGCCAGCTCGACCATACGATTTGAAAACCTCTCAGTGAAAAGACCAAGGGAAGGCACATTATCATCCACCTCATAAAGAGTTTGCAACGCAAGGACAGAAGTTTTCCTGACACCAGCACTCTTAAGATGCAGTTCAAAGAAAAAACGTAGTCAGTTTTCCTCTTGTTTTTTCTTTTTAATTGGTTAAGGCACAAACTGATCAGTAGGATCAAACATCAAGATAGCAGAAAAATTACTTTGTCATTGAGCGTCCAGCCAAGGTATTTTAAGTACAAATCTTGTAGAAACAATGAAGGGTACGATACGATCCAGCTACCAATATATCTGATGCATGACATTCGGATATCTGGATCAACATCTCGATATCGATGCATGAATAACCTGCAAAAGAGTTAATGGTAGATCTCTGATCAGTCCAGAAAAAAGCCAATAGGAAATACCAATTTATTCATTGATAGAAAAAACATTTATTCTCTTTTTTTATATATATGTTAAGTGAAGTTCAAAGATTCGACATGGTTTTGCAGTAATAAACAGCCTAAACAACAAGTCAGGTTCCCAAATCCCAAATCCCAAATAAACCATGGTTGCCGAAAAACTGAAACAACAAAAAATTAAATGAGAGAATGGGATTGGGGTCATGGTGGTAGCACCACTTGTGCCCCAGCTAAAGTCTAGGCTTCCATTCTCACCCAACGCATTAAAAAACTACTAATAATTTAAAAGAACAGGTAGGGGCTCGTCATCCCCCCTGAACTACCCAAAAAACAAAAACAAAAAATTAAATGAATTGCCTCGTGGCAGCTGCATCTTACCCAGTGAATATTTTGCGCATCATCTCCTCAGTCATAGTTATTTTTCCATGAGTTGAAGACAATCTCTTTTCCAGGGACTCCACACGAGGGCCATCTTTTCGCTTCTTCTTTTCAGCATTCAATTGGCGCTGGGTAGTTTCACGCTGCCCACCCAGTGTCTTGGCAACAGTTATGAAGGACGAAACAAGTTGGAGACCCACCAATGTAGCTACTCGACGAAAAACCCTAGGTGGAGTGCTGGATGGTTGAAAGCAAAAGATTTCATGGAAAGCAAGAAGTGATACAATGATAACATTCATCGATGAGAGTCACTGAATACAAAATAGCATGTGGTAAGTGTGTACCATGACAAAGCAATGACATAATCCATGCACTTCTCAAATAGAAGTTGATCGAATAGTGGCCCATTCTGACACTCTAGAACCAGATTATCCCAGAAACACACAAGGTTCTCCTTGAAGTTTTTAAATTCCTTTTGCTTTGGTTTCCTTTTTGCAGTTATTTCCTTCTGTTTTATATCATTTTGCCTTGGATTGCAATAATCTTCAGCTTCTCCCTGATTTTTCAACAGAGTCAAGTACAAATTGAAGGCAAACATGGCTACAGAAACATAAAGATTCAGTTGGTATTTTCCACTTAGATATTGAGAATGAAAAATTGATCCAAGAAATAGCTGCAAGAAGGATACATCTTTGGCAAGGTTAACCAGAGCGATAACCACATCATCCACATCAATCTCATCCAAAGAACCTTCGCTGAATTGATATTTAACCCCGCAGGCCTGTGTGTTCAAAGTCCTTAAGACCAACCAACCATTGGACACATGCAAAGATAGTGTAAGAAGAAAATCAGTAAACCCACCATACCTCAAAGAGCATCGTCAAAAGTTCAGATAATGCAGACTTTGGGTCTTTCTCATACCCCTCAACCCACTGTTTGACTGCCTGGATGATAGACTTCCCATTATATTTAAGACATTCTGCAATAGGGGATATCCATAACACTTCAGCCTCACAAAAGAACCAGTTACATCAAAGCACCAATAGTACCTAAAAGACATCTCTACATTCATTATCACGTTTTTCTACAAAATGACTAAATATTCATATGATGATTAAAAAGAGACTTCCATTTTAATCCGACAAATTTTGCATTATTCTTATTCCGATGAAGCAAATACATTAATTATTAAATAAACTAATTGTATGAGTTGCACTAATTATTTAACCATTTTCGTTTAGGACATTCAAATCCTAAACGTGTATTTTTGTAGCAATCATCATCATCATCATTCGAGATTCATGAAATAGATGTGGCAAAAGTTTTACACTGGCTGCCAACCTAACAAAGCCTCCTCCTTCCTCCAGCTTGGGACCAACATGACTGGCTTGGACCAGCCATGGAGGATAATGTGGTTTTGTGATAATAATATCATAAATATTTAGTAATCATAAATTAATAATCAAATTCAAATTGCAAGAATTGTGTTCTCATTTATGGACGAATTAAATACTTAATAATAAATTATTTAGTAACTTCAACCATATTAAAAAGGCTGATTATAAGAATAATATCACAACTATTTTAATGGAATAAAAGTTGCAATTACCTACCAGAAAACCAGTTACATAGATATTCAAAAAATATCAAACTCCTTGATGTTTTTCTTCTCATAAAGAAGTGAATTAAAGTTGAACTTCTAGAATGACCTAAGCTGATTGAATATAATATTCTGCAGAAATATCTGACATATTTCAATGGAATGGCATGGAGAAAAAACATAAAAAAATTTGTTAATAAGCAATCAAATATATGAACCACTGCAAGATAAAAATGGCATATATTTGCTGATAATGAATGCTGCCTGAAACATTTCTAAGTTAGTTATAACCAAGGACGTGCATATATTTCCCGTGTAAACAATTAGTGAAAATGACGCAAAAAGCCATTGATCTCATACAACGAAACCAAAGGTGTATAGTTAATGACCATCTATTGACTAATTTACGAAAGTTTTGCTCATATCCCTTATTAGTGGGATTTAAAAAATATCCTCCACATTTTATATTCTACATTAATGTCTGTTTTTAAAAAAAATTGTCTTTTCCCAAAATACTCTCGTTCAGATCTCGTGGCTTTCTTTACCCTTTTTTTTTGAGAGATCAGTTTGGAACTTCAAGTTTCAAACCAAATTTTCATAAATAAACTGGCTCGGAACTTGAAGTTCCAGCCAAGTTCAGAAACGTCTTCACTCTAAAAAGAGACAAGTGAGCTGGTTTGGAACTTGAACTTCCAAACCGACTGACTTCTCTATATCTTTTGTGAACATACACTTTGGAACTTAAAGTTCCAAACCAATTTATTTAGAAAAAAGCCAGAATTTCCGAACCAATCTCTCAATATGAAAAAAAAAAGGACCCCATTTTGGAGCTTGGAATTCTAGACAATCGGGTATTTTGGGGGAAAAAATGTGCGTAAAATACAGATTATGGGGGACATTTTCTAGTACTGCTAATTATAAGGGAATTAGCGAAAATTTTCCAATAATTTATGATATGCTTTCTTGCACCAAAATTGTAATAAAACTTATTTCATAAAAAATCATAAACTTGTAACAGACCATATTAATTAAACAAAAATACCAAACCTCTTCTGCTTCAAAGAAATTTGCAGCACAAATATGTAAAAGACAGTAACATCAAATGAAAACACGACCACTTACACATTAGGGTTAAAAGTGTAATCATCAGACATGACCACATGAACACACATGTTGCGTAAAGACCATGCCATTTTTCATCAGAAGAGGGAAGAGAACAAAGTAAAACTTTTCAACCAATCAAATAATCAATGTTCTAAAACTCTGCCAAGTAACTCGGCCTCGCCCATAGGGCTAGGCGAGTTTTGGGCGAGTAGGTTGTACAACATGTTTTAAAAGTTTAATTATATTAATACCTCAAATTAAAGTTAAATGTGCTCCAATGGCTTCTCGGTTAGTCCTAACGCAAAAAATTTAACAGTCGGGATTCGAATCCCACTAGAGTATACAACTTTTTTAATGTCGGTCACTTTTTAATATAATAGGAACACCAGTTTTAAAAATGTCATTTTTTTTTGGAACTTTTTTTTAAGTTCCAAAAAAAAATGTAGCCCCCACAAGAATGGACCTCGGGACCTCGGGTAAAGAGGGGGGGAGTAACTAGCATGCCGGTCTAATGCTCGGTTGATAAAAGCGGTGCTCATATTATATATCACTGTTTTTTCTCTTCATTTTCTTTAGAAAAAAACAAAAAAAGAGAGAGGGACTCGGGCGAGTTACTCGGACTCACCCGAGTAACTCACCTCAACTAGGGCCCGGGTACCTTGGCCAAGTCAATTTTCTGAACACTGCAAATAATTATTTATACATACCAAACAAGCTCGGATTAGCTGCACCATCATGACCAGTTTCCGCAGGTTTGTTTTTTTTCCTTTTGGGGCCAATTTCAAATACATCATCAAGCAAAGTTGTGCCTGAAGGAGAGGGCAAAGGCTTGCTTGGACTTTTGTCATCCAAAATATCGGTTTTATCACCTTCATCATCTCCACCTGAATCATTTTTATTGTCTTCCACTGAAAGTTCTCTATCACGAGCAACCCTTTCCACCTTTGCAGGCCTACCCCTTCTTCGTTTACTTCCCTATTGATGTTTGCAAGCAACCACAAGATAGGTCATTATGCATGGCATAATAAGATGATTGTGCAAAAGGAAGAAGACCACTCTAAAAAAGGAATTATATAAGAACAATTGTTTTATGCGGGTTGGGCCGCATGTCTACAATATGCGGTCCAGAGGTATAAGGCATCCATCTTGAAGATGGATTCAAATAGGTGGTCCATCTAAAAACAATTGTAATTAATGGTCCAAATGTTTTCTTAATATAATTATTATTTCTACTTTTCAATTTTTTTTTTCTTTTTTCATATTTATGATCTCCATGTTAAAGATTATATATTCTCTAAAAATTTGGATCAAATTATATTTAAAAAATATATTTATGGCCAAGTTCGTAATTCTACAATATGCGGGCTGCCCGCATGCTAACCACGTCCATTATATAATCAATCAGTAACTAACCTGAGGGCGCATGGAGGTCTCAGAGGCGAGCTGCTTCTCTGCTAGTGTATGGTCAGTTTCAAATCGAGCATCATCGGCTATTTTGTCATCCATGAATCAAACTGTTCACTTGCAACACCTAGAACATCCAAAATCAACAGTCAGACTAGCAGAAGCCACATAAGAATTTAATCAAAGAAAAAAAATAAACAATTCAAAAATTAAATAAATAGAAATTTGAGAATATGGGAGATGGACCATAAAGAGGAAAACACATGGTTATAAGGACAATTAGTACACATACACAGACGCAGATATTTACACATTTATACAGCAAAATAATCGTATTTATGTATTATGTGCATAAGGTAAAGTAGATTCTCTACAGAAATACTTTCTCTTCTTTTTTTTTAACATGGGATTTTGGCGATTTAAAACCGCAACCTCTAGGTGATTGGAAAGAAATTTGTCAAATAGGCGAACCCAAAAATAAAAAACCTATGGTTCTTCATGTGTGTGAATGTGCGTATGCTTTGTGTATCTGTGATATGCGTTTGGCTATACATGCATATGTAGCCAAGGTTGTCAATAAGAACATTTTGTTTGTGCATGTGCATATACCTAAGTAGATGAAAAAGTATACAATGTGACCATTTATCTTTGATACAAGGTGGTCACAATCAATCTTGACCATTAGATGAAACATTGGGCAGCTACATTTATTCCATTGATCAAGCTCAAAGTTCAAAATAAATTTTCTCAAACTTTATCCAAGCTATCAAATTTCAATTCGAATGGCTACAAATAATTGTGACCTCCTTATACTAAAGGTCAATGGTCTCATTGTATAAAATCCCTAAGTAGATACAGGGCGTTACATCACGATAAAGTGTTGACCACAATGTAAAACCTTAAGATAGATTCATTCCCACTCAGTTTCACTTTATTAAAAAATCAGAAGCTGAGTTTTACTACCTTCAATCAAAAAAGTTACAAAGCTTGCCATTTGGATTTTGAAAAATTTGGGCGGGAGGAAGACACCAATGAAGACCAGACAGAAGAAGAAGATCAACCTCACATGTGAATTTTCCTTAAAAAGGTTAATGAAATTATAGCATTTAAATTATTAAACCTCAAACTTAGTAACAAATATTAAACCGCCCAAATTTATGAAGTGTTCGCCAATAACAACAACATATCCCCATAAATGGAGCATGATTGGAGCAAATAAGCAATTTCATAGAAGAAAATGATAAAGTAGAGAGATAAGAAAACCATCAGATTTTTTGCAGAGTGAGTAGCTAGAGAGTAAATAGATATACGCAACAGCCAAGTCCAGGAAGTAAACAATATTGTAGCTTACAGTGGAAACCTAAAAACATCGAAAATTAATATTTCCCTGCTATGAGTGTGCCAGAGGATATTGCTTCCAATCAAGAAAAAATGACTGATCATAAACATAACATGAGCAAAAACAGCAGCAGGTCAGAGAAAACAATCAAATATAAATCGCATCAACCACCCTAATTTCAGAAGAAATGTAAGGCAACCGCAATGGAAAAGTTAAAGTGCAGGTATGAAGCAGAAATCCTAATTCTGCGAAAAATTAAGTTAAAGTGCAGGTATGAAGCAGAACTCCTAATTCTGTGAAAAATTTAAGGATATCTCAGCAGATGAAAGTTCACATATATGCAGATGAAACAATAATTCTAGGAAAAATGCAAGGAAGTCCCAATATATGTTGGTTTAGCATCAGAAACCCTAACTCTGGACAAAATACGAGGAAAACCCGACACGACAATTGCTATTTATCCATTGGAAACACTAACCATAGAAAAATGTTGCAAAAAAACAAGCGAAAAAATTTCATTGCATGCATTGGAAACCCTAATTCTACACAAATTGTAAGCAACACACAGGAGAAGAAAGTACTGGTCCATACAACAGAAAACCAGATTCCAACCATAAAATTTTTGCAGAAACAGATATAAATTGAAAAAATATGGAAGAAAAATGAGCAATTTCATGGTTTGTAGAGTGTAAACTACCTGCAACAGCTTGATGGTGATGCCCTAGAAACTGAACAGAGAGACAAAACCCCCAATGTTACAAGACTAAAACTGGAAGGCGCCAACTTCAAAGCGGGAAAAAGAGACCAAACGGACGGTTTAGATCTTGCGCTGTTTTTTGTCGTAACATGTTACAACCACACGATTTGTTTTGCCAAAAAAAAAGGGGGAGAAGAAAAAATTGCTCAGCCTCGCGATTGGAATACAAAGCGTAGGCGGTACTCTTCTTCGTGAGCGCGCGCAAAATTGAGCGTGCAAGGGCAGGTCGATCCGCGGTGGATGGGGCTTGGGAAGTGGGTTCAGCTCGCATGGTCGAAGCTACTAGAACTTCAAGAAAAAAATATAAAATATTATGTACAATTTATTAAATAAATAAATAAATAATAAAAAAGCCTTTATTTTTAACACATAGATATGACAATCACTTATATCCATCGGATTTCAAATCGGAAGATTGTGAATGTGTCATTGACTAAATTTAGATTTAAAAAAAAAGGCTATACTTAAAATTTTAAAAAATAATTTTAAAAAATTGTTAAAACCCCTCGAGATGGACTTTTTACTCACTTTATATCCCACCCAACTTTTCCTAACAATTCCCCCCCCCCCCCCAAAAAAAATGATGTTTTGTAGCTAATACCCCTACACAAAAAGTTCATTTATTTTAGATGAAAATACCCTTCTTTCACATAATGAATTATTTTCGTTAGAGAGGGCGGTCCAGCATTTTGAACAATCGGTCCGGCGATTTTTTTTTTTTTTTGCTGGAATGGGCGATCCAGCATTTCATGGTGACTGTCCGGCGTTTCATGGTTGCGGTCCGACAATTATTTTTTTGCTGGAATCGGCCGTCAAGCATTTAGAAGTTACGATCCGGTATTTTGAAGTTGTGGTCTGACATTTTGAAGGGATATGGCAATCCGAAATTTTGTAGGGGCAGTCCGAAATTTTGTAGGGGCAGTCTGGCGTTTTGAATTATGCCATACTAAGCAGTCCGGTGATGTACAAATACGGTTGGACGTTTCCTTTTATTGGGATCCAAAAATGATTTGTAATGTGAATAGAGGGTATTTTCGTTAAAAAATATGTACCTTTTTTAGTTGGGGGTTTTTGAGAAAAATAAGTGAAAAATTTTAGAATGGGGTAAAAGTTAAAAAGTATATTTGTTTAGGATTTTAGCAATTTTTGCAAATAATTTCTCTAACTTTATCGCATATCTCAAGCCAGCCCATTGATATGGAATGGCCAGTAATCCTCTCATAATAAAGGTGAATGACGCCATTATATAATCGCATTAAAATATACTAAATTTTCAATAATTGAACCATTTGTTTCTTTTAATTATGTCCGCCAATACTCAGTTTTGACTTTTGAAACCCAACGAACCTAATTAGGGATTGTCAATTGGCATCCGGAATTGCCAAAATCGAATTCGTTACCGGAACGTATCACTTTCGACCGGGCCTAATAAAACCCCAAGCACTGCCAAGCCCTTGAAAAGAAAAAGAAAAAATATTTTAATTTATGTATTTCAAATATTTTCTAAATCGTCGATTTGAACTGATGCAAATCAGCAATCTGAAGGTAGACGATCCATTTCACTAATCTGCCTTTTAAAACACTTGTAACTTGTATTTTGATACCTATTTTGAAATTAAATAAAAAATATCCATAAAATATAAATTAGTTCATCATATAAGTTTCCGAACATATATAGGTGTAGAGTGGAGGGGGTGTCAGAGGTCTTGCAGGTTTGGTGACCGGTCACCATGGTTGTCAAGGAATTGGCGCAGTCCTTGCACTAAAATATGGGACAGCTTTCATATTTTTTTACAGTTGGTATTGCAATTTTGGGAAGGAAAAACTCAAGAGCACGTACATTATGTTTTTTGCGTGCATAGTTTATTTCTACTCCCTCAATCACAATGCCTATTTGAGGATTTTTTCGATCTGAAATTTTGATAAACAATTAAGAATTTATTAGATTATTCTCAAAAAACATTCGAAATTGTAGTTTTGAAATACTTTGATCTCACCATCTAAAAATCCGATGATCTCTATTCAATCTCCATATATGCATAGAAGGTATAATTAGGAAATGTTTTCTATCGAGGTAAACCTATGGGTCAAAGAGGATAACGGCCCTAAAATTTGGGATCCTAAAATTAATTCGAGGTGAGCTTTCATCTGAGGGAGTAAATGCCCAATACACTCCCACAATAGTAGAATATCATTTGGCAAAAGTTGATACAAGGTGTAAATTTTATACTGCTAAACTTCAGTGCATCTCATGAAACTCATCAGTTGTAGGACTATCTAATTGATGATCTTGATTTCGAGATATATAGATACAAAAAGTCCTAAAAATAATGTATATTGTAATACATTAGTTGACGGTCAATTTTCAAAAAATTTAGGCGGTACTATTTAGTGAACTTTCATTTTTATAATTAGGGGTACCATTACCCATATAAGCAGTTATTACCATTTCAATAGTCAATGAAAATGGGAGGGATTGAGGTCGTGGTGGTAGCATACTTCAATTGCATATTGTGGATTTCATTCCCATTGAAAGCGTCAAAAACCACTAAGTAATTTAAAAGCGAGTAGGGGTTGTCATCCCCATTGAATTACCCAAAAAAAATGATCAAAAAGTGCGAGAAATAATAGTCTAGTGCATGCATTGAAACCTCAAAATTGGAGCCAAATTCAAACCCTACCTTTAACCACCATCTCCATTGTAGTTAATACTATGTAAGTTCAAACTTCAAACCACTTTTGGGGAGGTATTAACCATATTATTTGAATCTTGGTCTCAAATTTTGACAATTGACCTTGGATAAGCCATAGAAAACAGTTCTAACAGTTTAACATACAAATTAAGCTAGTGTCAACTTTATTGTGCTCTGATTTGGGTGTTTGAATATTGAAAATTACATGAGTTTTTAATCTTATTATTCGTATCTGTAAATGAATATAAAAAGGTGACAAATGAAATTTTGATTCACTAAACCAACAAGACACTTTATCTTCGAGACCCTATTCGATCTAACTGACCATTGGGCATCCGGAAATTTTTTCTATAGACACATAAGAAGTGGTTTGAAATTTTCGATGGTTAGCCATCTTTCTAAATATGTCATGGGTTTCTTTAAGGCGTGGGCTTTATGAGAACAAAGTAAGACTCGCTTCGAATCCTAATCAGGAAAAATTTTGGGCATCGGAATCTTCATGATGGCATGAAATTCAATTTCCAACACCTACTATGAAACTTAGAGCTAAAAAAATAATAAAAATATTGTAGACCTGTGAACACTTATTTTTAGAGTGAAATAGATCTACATAACTTGTTATCGTATAAACTACTTTTAGAACTTGAAATCTTTTTCTTTCTGTTTTTTTTCACAACTCTAGAGGTCAAGGCTGAGATCAATTTGAAGGTTTTTCAACACAAAAACTGCATTTTTGTTTTGAGTTTTAAAGTGAGGCTTTAACGTTTTCCAATTTCATATTAACACATTGGAGCAATTTTCAATTTTCTTTTACCATGTTACGAAGATTATGCATGGCATGCTTGTGATGCATATGCTTGCTTGTCTTTATTTTTTTTTCATGATCAACCATGTTCACTATTTTCAACTAGATTATTGACTTATTTTTTATCGACGATCATGTTCACTATTTTAATAGATCTCTTATTTCCCGTCGATCGACCATGTTCACTATTTTCAACCAAATAACACCGTTGATCTGTGCCAATATTGAGTAGTTCAAATGATTTCTATAAGAGGAGATCAAAGATAGCATAATACTCATACTTTTGCGGGGTTACGGAATGGATCTTCAATATGGAGATGGATCTCCAAAAGAGGGAAACATGGCCTCCAAGGGAGATACGGTATTTCCACAAGTTTTGGATTGGCTAAAAATTACATTATTAGAAAGAGTAACTCCTTTGGTTGCGACGAGAAAGAATGTATTGATCGACGGTATTATTCGGTTGGGAGAGCAAGTTTAGAAGGAAAAATAGATTATGGCCTTTTATCAATATTTAGATTTAGGTATTATCACATGTAACAAAAAATTGTACTATTCATTCAGTGTGATAGTGGATTTTTACGTGACGATGACGTGGATAGCTCTACGGGATGAACCACGTATATAGTGTATTACGGTAATATGTTTTTTATATATATTTTTCTTTTTATATTCAATTTATAATTGTATATATCTATTTTATATTTAGTCAATTACGTACTCAATCTTGAGAGGGTTCGCAATATTTTAGTCAATTATGTACGTAAAAGAGGAGCCACGTACAACTAACCTACACTATTACTGTCGGCAATATTAAAGATCTAAATCATGGGAAACCAATATGCTTTTGACAGGATTGATAGTAAAGATAAAATGGCCTATTGTGATACATGACGATGGTCAACTCCAAACCGGAACCCTTCTTAAAGAAAAAGCCACGTGGTGCAAGCATGATCAAGAAAATTTATAATTCCGAAAATAGTATATTATGCTCTGGCAGGAGCATATTGTATCCTTGTACTGTCAGGCGAAAGAGCTACTCATTAGATTCTTTTTTTTTTTTGGATATAAAACTTTGAGTTCCACCTCAGAATCACCGGATCATCATTTAAAGAAAAAAAAAAGAATTTCAAGGTTTTGAATATTTAGATCTCATCATAAAAAATGGATTTGTATCTTGAAGTGATTTTGTTTATGCATATACAAAAGGTGATTCGAATTAATTTTTATTTTATTGTTTTAAGTGAAGTGCCGGATTGAGGATAGTACACGTCTCATTTTTTAGATCATAGGAATACTTCTGAATTGGGTTTTATCTGATGGAGTAAATGGATAGTATGCTCCTGTGTGGGCGTGAGAAATATCTTGGCATAAATAGTATCACCGCCCAACAAACACTCACATGTGAGATGCCTTGCAACTGGGCAGCAGGGCACTTGCAAAAGTTGCCATGTTTAGTGGACACAAAGCGATTTGCGTGTCGTGCTTAGTCCCTATTGTCAATGAATTATTATAAGTTGCCTCCTCTCTATGGATTGTATTGTATTGTAGTGTAGTGGACAAACCACCAATTCAAGGTTTGTGACCACATTAATTCCTTCGGCCCAAGTTTTATTTATTTGGAAAATCGTTGTATGCTTCCGGGGATATATTTTTACACCCCGGAGGCATAAAACATTCATCTTAAATATGGACGTAGATATATTTTTACACCCCGGAGGCATAAAACATTCATCTTAAATATGGACGTAGATGGGTGGTCCCTTCATAAAAATTTTAAATTACTGGTCTAAATATATGAATCATAAATTATAGTGTTTAGTTTTAAATTTATGTATTAATTATCGTCAATACTGTTTATTTCTTTAAAATTTGGATCAAATTTGATCTCAAAAAATGAAAATTTAAGAGGGGATTTATTTTTACACATAAGTCTTAGGAGTCATGACTCATAGAGATAGACTTTCAAAAAAAAAAAAAAAAAAAATGGTTAGGACCCATAGAAATCGTATCCTATTTCTTTCATCTTAGCATAAGCGGAATGGTAGTACTTAGTGGACTCTGGCTCGTATTTCCATGGTGACGCCACGGGCAACTACAGACTCTGATTGGAATTTATTTCTTTTTGGTCTTTTTGAGGTTGGTCATGAGACGTAAGAAGTTTCATCCCAAAAGAAAAAGGAGCAGGAGTTAATAGCTATCCAAACCAAACTGTCAGAATTTCCAAAATTGATATGGAACAGAGATATGCCAAAACATCATTTATTTTTCACCATTTTTGGATGATTCAGAGAAGAAATACTTGGCAATAAACGAAAAAAATAACGTGTCGTATGTTAATCAGCTAAAAAATTTGCAGTCACGCATTTATAATTGGGAAAATGTCATATGAATTCCGAATTTTCAAACTTATTTTTGCAGTAACTCATCCCAATTATTCTCTTTCAAACAACATAATTTTTCTCCTAAAACCATCAACATACTCCCCCATCCCCTCCCTCTCTTTTCTTATTTTCTTACAAGAAATTTGATATCAACAATTTCTCTTGTGCCATAAAAGGACATCCTCCTTCCATCCCTTTTTAATCTCGTGTGGTATTCAATAAATTATTGATGTGAAATTTCATGAGAGAAAAAAAAGAGGGGAGGAAGAAGATACTTTGGAAAATTTAAGGGAAATTTAATCCCGTTTGAAAGCAAACAGTTGAGAGGGTACGCTACGAAATAAGCTTGAAATTTGGGGGTTTCTACAATTTTCGCCCTTTACAATGCCATTCAAATGCAACGTCGTTAAGTTGGTACGGAACGAAATCGTTGGGCTCCCAATCTGGGTGGTCCTCACCCAAAAAAAATGCGTATTGCTATCATTTTACTAATTTTTTAAAAGTAATGATCCAACAGGCTATTTTCCACCTATATGTGTAGGATTTTAAAAAATCACTATTAAATTTGACACGGATCTATAGAAAAGTCGAGTTTTACGTTTATATAATAGCTTTTCTAGATATCTGTATCAATTTTAACGGTAATTTTTTGAAGTCGTACACACATGAGTGGGAAAGATATTATAGGATCATTACTTATTTTTTAATCTATTTTTTGATAATTCAACCAAATAAATTTTATCGATTCAACCAACTCAAATAGTACAATGAACAGGTGATCCAAAACCTGATTGTCAGTTTTAAAACATGGACCAAAGCAATCCATTTTTAATTAAATTTAAAGAAAAAATACCCACTTTTTTTTAGATAATCCAGTAAGGATAGGCACCTCCTATCCATTTTTTTTAAATGAGAATGGAAACCTAAACTATAGGAGATGTACAAGTGGTGCTCCATGACGACCCCAGTTCCATTATAAGAAAAGACCCCCTTTCGAATGCAAATTAGCATATAAGAACCTTATTAGAAAGGTAAGGTAGAAACTAGAAAAAGGTGTCAAATGTTAATTTTTCCTGTTCCTCTTGTTTGCCAATTATATTAAGACACGTGTCAGATTTCGATAAAAGCAAAACATTTGGATACATTCCACCAATAGCAATCAGACCCGTTGTTGAGTTGGAGGGTGTCCCCTATCCTCAGCCACACACCCTCACCTCCTTTTTATACAAATGACGCTATCCTCTCTCTCTTCCCCTGAAATCTCTCTCTCTCTCCTCTCAACTCAAATTCTACAGTGAAAAAATGGCGGTCCCTCGACCCATCTGCCCGCCCACTCTAACAACGCCTGCGCCCTTCTTAGCAGGAGGACTCGATACCAGCAATACTTCATTCTCCTCTAGAGCCCTACCCCAGGTCTCTCTCTCTCTAGACTCTATCGCAAGTATACTGCACTCTTTTAATGGCTCTCTATAATGAAATGCCTCAAATTTTCCTCCTAATTACACTCTTCTAACAATTTCTCTCTCTAGGAATGTATGTTTGGACTGAGAGGGGCTTATTGCAGTTGCAGGCAATAGGGATGAAACGAAAAGGAGGGTGCCTTTGTGGAGCGCTGAGCGAGAGAGGAGAATACCACTCGGAAAGGCCTCCAACGCCACTACTCGACACCATCAACTACCCCATTCACATGAAGAACCTCTCCATCCCAGTAATATTATCTTCTCTCTTCTTTCTCTCTCTAAATTTTTTTAATCTTACAACACCACCCACGCATACAATGCTCGTCTCTCTCTCTCTTGATTCGTATTATCTGAGAAGGGGGGCTTCGGGTTGGAAGCAATTGAGTGTTGGATAATCCTCTTTCTCTCTCTAGGATTGAGGAAAATGAGGCCATTTGTGTACCTGCAGGAGCTCAAACAACTGGCCGATGAGGTTCGGTCAGATGTAATATTCCATGTGTCGAAGACCGGGGGTCACCTGGGCTCCAGTCTTGGGGTGGTGGAGCTCACTGTAGCCATTCACTACGTCTTCAACGCTCCACAAGATAAGATACTCTGGGACGTTGGCCACCAGGTTTTCTCTCTCATTCTCTCTCTATTTTCTCATTCTCTCTGTAGCTGAACATAATTTGGTTGTAATTTGCAGACTTACCCTCACAAGATATTGACGGGGAGGAGAGAGAAAATGGGTACACTGAGGCAAACCAATGGTCTTTCAGGGTTCACCAAGCGCTCAGAGAGTGAGTACGATTGCTTTGGGGCGGGGCACAGCTCCACTAGCATCTCTGCCGGCTTAGGTACCTTTTTTACCCTCTACCTTCGATTTTATCACTTAATTCCCTCTGGTTTCTATTTTGTCACTCAATTCATGTAGGACAACGCTCGCTCTTTTTTTTTTTTTTTTATATAATTCAATGGGGGATAAGAGGCCCTATCTGTATTTTAATTAATGGTTTTTGAAACTTATAGTGGGAATAAAAATGTAATAAGAGGTATCCTATGTTTTAATTAATGGTTTTTGAAACTAATAGTGGGAATAAAAACCACAATGTGGAATAAGAGGTATCATACCTACCACCTCAACCCCTTCCACATAGGACAACAATGTTTTTTTTAAAAAATATATAAAACGGGTTGAACCCTTTAAAAAGATACAAATTATACGCATACGCTTGTAAAGTTTTATATCAATCAAATGCATCTTAAAAAATTTTAAAATTGCTTTTATTTGGTGTTGGGAAGCTAGAATAATTAAAGTATTTTGATGATTTTATCCATCTTTAGAGGTAAAATTACTAAAACATATTTTTGTGGCGTCCCAATACCGAAAAGGTGTTTTGGAATTTTTTTGAGAACGCACCGCTAGAAATTAAAAAATATACCTTCAAATATAATTTCTAATATTGTGACCCCTTTATCCTATTGTATAGGGTTTGAACCCCCTATTATGCCTTCATCTTATCACATTCCACTATACTTGTAGCACACAAACATCATGTTACTTGTAGCATATTCCACGCCGATAGTAGCAAGCAAACAGCATACTACATGTGCCAAATAGTAGAGTCCACGTAATCTCAAAATCTTCTCTTATGGTTATGACTCGAGATGAGTGGCCCCTAGGCTGAAGTCTATCATTATTGGATCAAATAGAAGAATATTTCATCTTTGATGGTTCCTTGTAAAGAACTGGGTTTTGTAACTGCATGTAGTGATTATTTTTTAAAATTCAGTTGAAAAATTTGTTGGAAGATTTTTTTTAGAGAAAAAAGGAACAAGTTAGAATAATAAATAAATAATTCTGAAAGAAGAAAATCTACTTAATTTGACCTTTTTAAAGATATGCTTCATCACGTTATCTCGTATTTTTCGTAGGTTTTATTTTCTTTGAAAATTTGTATGTGAAATTGGAGTTTTGATAAATTTATGCTAGGCATTATAACAAAAACCAAAGAAGAGTAAAATATCGTGATATGAAAATATTCTGGTCATAAAAAATCTCAATAATTTTTTTTCTAGATTTTCGAACAAATGGATATATTGTCACACTCAATGAGATTTTACATTGTTGAGAAGAGGAAATTTTAATTCAAATGGTCCCTTTCTAGAAATCATTCTTGGAGAGTGATTTCGGATCTAAAATTTCACCTGTCAATAATCTCCTCTATCACTATCATAAATATGTATATAAAAAAGGAAACCCAAAACTAAAAAATAAATTATTTTAGAATAATTAAAAGAAGTCCAAAAAGAAAATTGAAAACAGTTTATGTTTAATTTTAGGAAGTGCCTACAAAAAGACTATTTATCTTTTGTACATAGATGTCACAATCATTCTCGCCTTTTGAATATCAAAATGGGTAGTTGTAAGAGTGTCATTGAAAGACACAAAGCTTCAAAAACAAAATTATTGGACTTCGTGACTCACCCCATACTATTCAATTTGACATCTAGTGAGTGATAATGATTGTGACCTCTATATATAAAAGATAAATGGTTTATTTATAGAATATTCTTTAACATTAAATTCTAGCTTTCTTTTTCAGATTTAAAACATGTGGGTGGTCGAGATTACTCTCATAAACTTTAATTCCAAAATCTATCTCCCAAATAAAATTTTGAAATAAATTAACCTAAAATCCATCTCTAAGGCAAACATTTTTTTAAAAAATGACACTTGAATAGGTGCATAAACTAACACGCCAAAATCCCATTTTTTGGCTTAAATGGGGTTTACAGAAAGCGGGTACACCTCCACCATCCATCTCCATTAGGATATAGACAAAAATGGTGTGGGTCCCAGTCTTTATGCGTGTCCGACCAAGAAGTTTGGCAATCAGCCAATTATGAAGGATGGACGGTGGTGATGGACTTAAGGCGATCTAATGTATGGACCTATTGATTCCATTTAGGAAAATGTTGCGATAGAGCTGCATCCCTATCAAATAAAGCCTCACGTCATAACTCATAGACATAGAAAATGGCAATCCAAGTAATAGAAAACCTTTACATTGAACATCTTGGCATGAACATTATGGTTGTAAAAAAAAATAAAGATTTTAAATTTTAAAAATAGTATATATTATGACAAATTATTTATACCATTTATTTTGCCCTTAAAGTAAGTGTTCATAGATCCCTAAAATTTGTACTATTTTTTAAGTTTCAAATTTTATTATAGAAATTGATTTTAGAATGCTATCATACATATTTCCGCTGCCAACACTGTTTCCGAGGGTTTGAGGCGAGGCTTTCTTTGTTGCCATAAAGCCTAGGCCTTATAGAAACCTCATCCTTCGATTTATACTTTAGTGGACGTACTTGTCTACCGACCGCATAATAGAGGGAAAATGAAAATAACAAAAAGGGCCCATATACTAAGCACGTCCATCATATAAACAGTATGGTCACAGGGTCATCACGGTCCCATCAAGGGGTTGGACTGCGATTGATGAGACATGGGAGCATTTTGTACACTTCTGAGGTTCGAGTGAATGGTTTATTTGAGGGGACCCACTCTCTAACCATCGCTGTTCAGACTACGAATGTGATGGTGATTGTTCCCTTTGACCATACTATCGGAGTCACGCAGACAAGGAAAAAGAAAGGGGAAATTATAAACATGCAATTTACCCCCAAGTCATATAAAAAGGTAAAATGAAGACAAAAATACTCTAAAAAAAGCATACGGTCTAGCACTTTGCTTTTGGAAAGCATGCGGTCCGACACAAAATAGGGGCCATCCGACACTTTGAGCATGTGGTCCAACATAAAATGGGGGAGGTCAGGCACTTTGCTTTTGGAAAGCATGTGGTCCGGCACAAAATAGGGCGGTCCGGTACAAAATGGGAGTTGTTCGGCACTTTGGGCTTCTGAAAAGCATGCGGTCCGATACAAAATAGTGGCGGTTCGGTACTTTGGGCTTCTGAAAAGCATGTGGTCCGATACAAAATAGTGGCGGTTCGGCACTTTGGACATGTGGTTCGGCATAAAATGGGGGCGGTCTGGCACTTTGGGCTTCTGGAAATCATACGGCCTGACACAAAATAGGGGCGGTCCGGCACAAAAATGGGGGGCCTAGCACTTTGGGCATGCAGTCCTACACTATGGGCATTTTTTGTCAAAAAATGATTTTTTTGACTTTAGGGTATTTGCTACAAATGTTCAATTTAGAGATAAAAGTTGCTAAAGAAAACTTTGTTGGGGTAGGTTGAATAGAAAGTGTCATTTTGAGAATTTTTTGTAATTTTCCGTAACAAGAAAGGAGTACTCCTTTTTATATTTGGGTGCAGGTTCGATAGAGCTGAAGCTCTAAACAATCAAATTAGAGCCCACCTTCAAATAGGGTTGAGAAAAGTGGTTTCAATACTGAAAAACTTTGTGATAGGCTTTAAATATATTATTAACTTTAATTATAAAATTTAAAGCTTAAAACATAGTGTAGATTTAGCAGATTTATGAAAACTTGAAAATTGACGGTCCAATAATGCGTTACAAGGTGTACTATTTCCAAAACTTGAATCCATTTTTTTCTCATGTCTATACATTTTCATGTCGAGATGATCAAAATGAGGATATTTGGGCATCAAAACAACCTCTTCTTGTGAAATTTCTGAGCTAGGCTCTAATTTGATTGTTCAGAGCCTCAGTTCTATATAAACTTTTCCCTTTATAGTTTCCCTAAAGTTGCCTGATCTTTAAGCTTGTCAAGATAAGGAGACTATATAATATGTGAAGGCCTCGTATTGAAATAATATGTGAAGGCCTCGTATTGAAAGGGACACGGTTCCTATGAGTCTACGTAGACATAAGTTGCCTCGTAAACATCTATTTTTTAGATGGATTTTTTTTTATTTAATTTTTAAGGACTCGTAATCTCTAACATGGAGATCATGAATATGAAGAAATAAATAAATTTAAAAAGTTAAAAATAATAATTCTATTAAAAATATATTTGAACTGTTAGTTTCAATTGTTTTTAGATGGACCACCTATTTGCATCTATCTTTTAAGATGGATGATTTATACCTTGGGACCGCATATCGTAAAATCTGAGAGATGAATTGTTTAACATCTCACCCATACTTTTTTATTTTTAATTTCAAAAAGTCATCAAAGAATAGATTAGAATAGCTGATATTTTAGGTGTGTTTTCATAAATGTGTGAAATGTTATGTGGTCAATATTTTAGTTGTGGATATATGTTTCCCTAACATTAATTACGTTGTTAAATAATTCAATTTACTAACTTCTTAAAAATTATTTCAATTAGGTGTCTTCTGAATTATTTTGTTAAGAAATACAAATTGACCCTTATCAAGTTCGGAACCCTAACAACCGAGGACATTTTGGTACTTTGTCCCACTTGGGTTACTCAAGCCACATGACCATTGAGAACGAGTTGGATCTGGTATGGATATATTGGGATCTGGATTTAGATCAAAAAAGTATAAATGGGATCTGGATTCGATATATTTGGGTTTGGATCCAAAAAATATGCATGGGTTTGGATCCGGATCCAGACCCTAACGAATCCAAAAAGAATATTTTATATATTATTTTATACTTATAAAATAATATATAATATACATGGGATTTGGATCCGGATCCAGACCCTAACGAATCCAAAAAGAATATTTTATATATTATTTTATACTTATAAAATAATATATAATATATAAAAAATATACATTGGCTGCTTGTTTCAAAAGTAGATTTTTTGGTTGCAGAGCCCGCTATGAATGCTTTGTTGTTGCTTTGAACTTGAACAGAAGCGGTGCTTATTGTCTTACTTGTTTGGGAGACAGGGATGGCAGTTGGGAGAGACCTGAAGGGAAGGAAGAACCATGTGGTGGTGGTGATAGGAGATGGTGCCATGACTGCAGGACAGGCATATGAGGCCATGAACAATGCAGGTTACTTGGACTCTAACATGATTGTCATTCTCAATGACAACAAGCAAGTTTCTTTGCCCACTGCCACACTCGATGGACCCATACCGCCTGTGGGGGCCCTTAGTAGTGCTCTCAGTCGTCTACAGTCTAGCCGATCCCTTAGGCAGCTTAGGGAGGTTGCTAAGGTCAGTAGGTCCCGGAGACACCATAAATGTTTCTCAATAATTTTGAATGAATTTTAATAATTTTGAATGATTTTTAATAATCACTATAGTGGCTTTAGTAATTCCCAAGAGCCTAATGTGATGACCAAATTTTGAATGTGATGTAGAGAGGTAACCTCCAAAATTTGTTGGAAAACTATTGCTTTCTTTGTTTTTTAGCCGTAATACGGATCGAGGCTATTTTTGCCAATATCGGGAATTGTTTGGGCTCCAGCTGTACAGTTGGATCTAAAATTGGAAATTTTCTTTATATAGCTTTTCAAAAATCAGTTGAAATTTTTGTATACTTCTTCTCTTCAGCTCTGATTTTAGCGTCCAGGTACTTGTGTAGTTGTCTCAATATGAAACAGTACGTCCACTTGGTTTGTTGTTGGGACAAACTTCAAGGATTGAACCCTTGACCTCCCTCTCACGAACTGGATGTCTTATCCGAAGCCTAAGGGCTTTCTGAAATTCACAACCCACATTCAGTCCAACATTTCACCCAAAATGTCCATCTTTTTGGGTCGGGAAACAGGTGAGATCGCAGTTCTTGATGTTATGTTGTGTTTTCACCACCTTAACTACGAACCAAGATCAACCTTTATTTCCCATAAAATTAAGTAAACATTTCCCGCTTAGATCAATTTCCTTTTCCAATCAAACCAGATTCACCACGCCTTGTTGCTAATTTTTCATTCCCCAAACTCAAAAAAATTTCAATCATAGTTTTCACTGAATTTTGGGCCTTATCCATGAACCCAACTTGAGCAATGTCTAAGGCATGCTACATTTAAATTTTCAGGGTGTGACAAAACAAATTGGAGGCCCCATGCATGAGCTAGCAGCCAAGGTGGATGAATATGCAAGAGGAATGATAAGTGGCTCAGGCTCCACATTGTTTGAGGAGCTTGGTCTCTATTACATCGGACCAGTTGATGGTCACAACTTGGACGATCTGATCACAATCTTACGAGATGTTAAGGCCACCCCCACTACTGGTCCTGTTCTAATCCATGTTGCTACTGAAAAAGGAAGGGGATATCCGTATGCTGAACGAGCCTATGATAAGTATCATGGTAATGATTACTCTTATTAAAATTGATTGTACACACCAAATTTGGTTGTACAAGCCAGTGATCGCCTATCCAACTCAGGAATCATCAGAGCTGGATGGGATCGAGAGTTTGGCAAATCCAGGCCCAAAAAAAAAAAATCATCGGAATTCCCTAGGTCTCCCAATTCTCTAGTTTTCATTTTAAATTTCTTTGTTTAAATATAGCCCAGTCCAACCTGGACTCACTTGAGGGAGACTGGAGGAATTGGAATCAGCCCCTTCCTGAATTGGAGCCTGATCTGATGTTTGAAACACTGGCATAAGTGGGATCTTATGGATTTCTTACAAGCTTGGTATGTTTTTGGACCGTCCATTTCGATTGGTGTGGGACCCAATTGTTTTCTAAATGTGGCCCCACCCCATTTATTTTTTCATTGGGGTTCTCAATGGAATGGACGATCTAGATGCATTGGCTTATGGGAAGCCATATGACTGGCTTGTGCACCCATTAGGATGACTCCTGTTGTTGTTCATTGTTTACTCCTCTTAATGTGCCTCAACTAGAAGTTATGAAAGAATTAGGATTGTTACCCTATCATTCAGAGGGTTTTAGGAGAATTCAAACAAAAAAGGAGCTATTTTAAGTGCCACTTAATGGAAGGGAAACTGATGGAGAAACAGGTATAACGAACTTTGCTCCAGCGGACAATGGTGAGCTAATGCGTGTTACGAAAAAAAACAACTTAGGGCCAGTTTGGATGGATCGTTTTCAACTGCCACTTGAATATAAAAAAGAGAGATTTCGCCATCACTTGAGTATGTGTTGGTTTTTATTTTTTTCAAGCGGGGGTAGAGAATTAAGACTAACTGGAGCAAATGAAACTCCCTTACGTGCAGTTTCAAGTAAAAGTGCCTAAAATACTCCAAATAAGTGCCCATCCAAACTGGCCCTTAGGCTGCCACAGTAATACGAAGTAATTTCGCAAGGTCATTTAGATATTAGATAGAGAGGTACCATTTTTGTTCCCCCATTAAATGGAAGTTTAGTTCTCTAGGAGAACTCCAAATTGAAAACTCCATGTCATTTTGAAATTTTTTTAAAACCCCTAAAATATCACTAATTCATAATCCTTTTTTATGGTAGTTCTGAAAAAAAAAAAAACAAGGAAAGAAGAAAAAATAGCTTTGTCTTGATTGAAACATTGGTCATATTTCTTTGGTCTTCTAATTTTTACTAATGCTATATAAGTGGGTGTCTACTGCCAACCTTAATGATGTTTTGGTGGTGATAGGCGTTGCAAAGTTCGATCCAGCCACAGGGAAGCAATTCAAGGGCACAGCCAACACCAAGTCCTACACTTCCTATTTTGCAGATGCTCTCATTGCTGAGGCTGAGGCTGATCCCGATATTGTGGCGATTCATGCAGCCATGGGAGGTGGCACTGGCCTCAATGCCTTCCTTCGCCGCTTCCCGAACCGATGCTTTGACGTGGGCATTGCCGAGCAACATGCAGTCACCTTTGCAGCTGGCCTCACTTGTGAGGGTGTAAAGCCCTTCTGTGCAATCTATTCCTCCTTCCTCCAACGCGCCTACGATCAGGCATGACCAACACCTCTCTCTCTCTCACACACATATACATACATGCATCCTTTTCTCTATGGTGGTAGACTGAAGGAGAAGCCAAGATTCAATGGGATATTAGTGTTTTAATGCTCAAGAAATGTCACATCTTGCAAGTATTTCTCTATGCAAAATCTTTGAAAAGATGATATATACTAAAGCGAAACGTATTTAACACTCTGCCATACCTAAATTATGTTTAAGTGCAGAGGTTTAAAAAGTTATAGACTCATAAAACTTGAGATGTAAAGGACATAAGAGAAACATAAGCTAATAGAAACCAATCATATACCTATTTACAAAATCCAACAATTGAGCAGGGGCGGCAATAGAACGGGTGGCTTGCCCAGCCCCGTCGACCTGGCCCTACAAAAAAATAGGACCTGGGCTACGGCTGGAGGGCCGGGCCTGGGCCAATATAGGGCCAGCCGGGTTCGGCCCAAACGGCCCTTTTGTTCCTCATACCATTTGGCCTGAGCTTGGGCTGGTCCTATAGGGATGAGACCGGGCTAGGGCTAGGGCTAGGGCCAGGGATTGCCCAGCCCAAGCCCAGGCCCGGCCAGCCCTATGGTTGGGCCCATCATTTAACCTCTTATTGACCTCGCTAGTGGTGGAAAGTTCAAATGACTAGCTTGCCTCTCCCTACTATCATAAGGCCCACAGTTTAGTTGAGAGCCCTCAACAAATGTGTTGAGTTCAAAATAGTTGAAGATTTATAACCTTGTATGAATATAAAGGAAATTAAATAATTAACTAAAAGAGAATACAAAAAAAGGATTTTTCTGCCCAAAATATGACCAATTTTGCGTTTCTGGACTTTCATTTTGGTTCTATCACAAAATAGGTAATACACGATGTGGATCTCCAAAAGCTGCCAGTGAGGTTCGCCATGGACAGAGCCGGACTTGTTGGGGCTGACGGACCCACACATTGCGGTGCATTTGATGTGACCTTCCTTGCATGCCTGCCCAACATGGTGGTGATGGCACCGTCAAATGAGGCCGAGCTCTTCCACATGGTGGCCACGGCTGCTGCCATCGATGACCGGCCTAGTTGCTTCCGCTACCCTCGAGGCAATGGAGTTGGCATCCCCTTGCCGGAGGGCAATAAGGGAACTCCCCTTGAGGTAAATTTACTACTCTTTCCCTATGAACATGTGAGTAGTCGCACACTTTTCTCTTTTGCTTTGGCTTTTGAAAAAATTATTCATAATTCATCCATCCTTTTGTGGTGCGTTATTCATATTCAAATAAGTTTTGGGAAAATATCTATTTCATCCAGCCATGGTTCTCAATTGGCATTAGGAGCCATTATAACCATGTTCTTATGCCATGAACTACTATACCAAAAACAAGCCAAAAAAGCTCAGTCATTTCCTATATTTGCAGATTGGAAAAGGAAGAATTTTAGTAGAAGGGGAGAGGGTAGCTCTTTTAGGCTATGGAATGGCCGTTCAAAGCTGCCTCGCAGCTGCTTCCTTGCTTGAAAGACGTGGCCTTCGGCCCACAGTAGCAGATGCCCGCTTCTGCAAGCCATTGGATCAAGGGATGATACGTCGCCTTGCCAAAACCCACCAAGTCCTCATCACAGTTGAAGAGGGCAGCATCGGCGGCTTCGGGGCCCACGTGGCTCAGTTCATGTCCCTTGATGGCCTTCTCGATGGAAGTACGAAGGTATTATCTTCATGACCATGGAAGGGAATGTAAAATCTTACACCAATGGTGGTATGTCAATGGAATATACACCTTCCTTTCTCAATGATTGTGTGGTGGATATTACCTGTACCACCATGAACTGGGGGTTCTATAATAGAGTTGTGTAATTCTTGCCTAATGTTTTATAGTGTGCTAAGTATAATTATTTTTCTTATCTTTTCTTGTTTCTTTTTTTTCTTTTTTTCTTCTTGTGCAGTGGAGGCCTCTAGTTCTCCCTGATAATTACATCGACCACGGATCACCAGCCAATCAATTGGCAGAAGCAGGCTTAACGCCTGCTCATATTGCAGCCACAGTCTTCAATATCCTTGGCCAGACTAGAGAAGCCCTTGAGGTCATGTCTTGAAACGTAAAAAAGAACTCTCAGTGAAGGTTTTGTAAATATCAGACATCGATTTGCATTTTGATCAAGGAATTTAGTTAATTTTGAGGAAATCAAGCTCGACCAATCGGATAAACAAAGATGGGTGAGCAGAGCGAGAGAGAGTGTGCTCATGCCTTAGTATTTTATCAGAAGACTTCGAAGAAGAGAATCGAGGTGCTGTCGTTGAACTAAGCAAGCTTTTGTAGGTGTAAAATAGGAGTATTTTTAAAACCCCAATGTTTGGGGACTTGACCCCTTCAACATGGCAACCACCAAATACAAAAAACACTTGAAAAATTTACATCGAAGACCATCCAATTTTTGGATAGTTGGATCCCGGTAATCAGAAACTCATTAACAAATATGTTTTCTTGGAAAAAATTGAATATGGCGATTTTAAAGTAGAACTCAGAATTCTAAATCCAAAAAGTACCCTTTAAGTAGCTCTTAAATTAGAGGATTCAATTTCTACAAGGCTTCGACTTTATTAAAATAAAGTCTCACCTCAAATACTCATGCTGAAAGCATTTTGGGTATCAAAATTTTTCATGATTGCTTAAAATCAATTTCCAACATCGACTACAAAATTTGAAGTTCAAAAATGGATACATAACTTATTTTTAGAGTGAATGAATAGTCTAAATAATGTGTTACAATATAAAAAGGGCTTCAAATCCAATTTTTTCAATGGTCAAGGCCAAAATGCTAGATTTCAAGGTTTTCCAATGCCAAAACCGCAATTTTCAGTGTGTTTTGACGCGAGGCATTACTTATTTTGATGGGGCAGCCCATCAAAACATTTTCCTGAATTGATAGAGCAGCCTAACCAAACATTTTTCTGACCAAAGCGACTCACAAATAGGTCTTCATCAACCATTTCTGACCAAAGTGACTCTCACATCTCCTCGAATGCTCTGAACATTTCAGCATAACTTATAACTTACAACCCTAATTCCAGTAAACACCCTTAACCAACTCAAGAGCCAATATCAAAAGATCACGTCACATGTTTTTTCATGTTTGCCAAAAAGTCCCATCCCAAAAAATAAAAGAACATAAAAAAAAAAGGGTATAAAAGAAGGAAAAAAAAAATCCTTTAGTCTCTACAAGAACCAGCCATGGACTCTATCAGGAGTTGATATCCTTCAGGGATAGGACTTTGTTGTTGTACGCATTCTGCCAAAGCAGGAACATCTGCATTAATGTCGAGATATTTTGCAAGCAAAAGGAGCAAGTGGAAGTCAGATATTCGCTTAACAAAAGGGAGGTTCCTCGTCCGTTCCATATGGTTCTTTAGTGCCCTCATAGTCACAGGTGAAACCCTGTTCTCGATGGGAAATGTTGATGAAAGAGGACCCTGCAATTCAACCATATATTTTGTAATTAGCAGTAATATAATAGTTACTGAAAGCATCATCTTTCTAACCTACAAAATCAGGACAATTTTTTTTTTGGGTAAATCCAATTTCTACGGTGGTGAAGAAGATGAAAAACATGACAAATTTCTCTTAGAGAAGAGCAAGCATACAGGAAAATATTCTGCTACAAGATGGACTCAGATTCAAAGACAGTAACAAGATCGCGCAAATTAGCAAAACGATCTTCTGTGTGGAGAGACCACACTCCAAATTGTTCAAGATATATATCATGAATCAGTACCTGAATTACCTTTGCAAAGAAGATCGTCAACCTGACCTTGATAAACCATATTTGCAGTTGGTATAATAGGACCTATGACTATCATAAGTAAGATGGGCATCTTTGTCACAGAAATTGCAGAACGAATTACATGTAGCCAATATCCATTTGAAGTTAGCTCACGCATGACAAGAAGGAAAGTAATGCACTTTAGAATGGCTAACTGTTTGTTTTGCTTCCAACAAGAGAAGAGACCCAAAACTACCACGTGCATTTTCCCTCGACTTATGTTACAGTACAAAGTCCTATATTAACTGATAAGTATCCCATGAAAAGGAAGGTGTATGAAATATGATACACCAAGAGGGTATCACAGTTAAATCCAGTGATGGACAGTGAAGATTAAACATATCTGGAAGAGCATTTGTCATGGGGGATTACATTTAATCTCCACTATCCCTCATCATATACAGATGGCCACCACCGGAGAGTTCCCTTGTAAAATGCATGCTCAGAAGACAAGCAGCCCTCATTTGAAAAAGTATCACATGCCTCTGCCCAATTGTATCATCTGTAAGTTTAAAATTTCCCATCTGGTCTAATGGTGAGGAAGACAAAAACTATTACAGGTTCTACAGTACTAGCCCTCAAAAGATTATTTACCCTCAAGTCAAACTGATTTCCTCAAACACCCTTCAAGTATGAATTCCTTGCCATTACTATATAACAGTATCATGGGTATTTAAGACTATACATTCCTCTGTTAAAGGAACATCACACAAACAACAAATGATCTGCATTACTCATGTTGAAGCCAGACTATAAAGTTGTTGAATGTACCAAAGCAAGCTTTGAGTTTCCATTTGAGACTCACACAACGTTGAACAATATGAACACTTCACAATGCCTACAAAGTTTCCACCGCATAGAAATTTTCTACTTCAAAACACTCATGGTAAATGTGTTGTTTATATACTCATTTGCAATATAGTTAATATTTAACAACAGACAACCAGTGACACATTTTAGTAGCAGTAATCTAGCTAGATGACTAAATGTCTCATCATAGCCATACTAATGATTAGCTCCCTCCACAATCAGTCACATTCTATAACATCCAGCAGTCCTATTAACCTCTAAATTCAGTTGTAACCTTTGGAACCCACAACGTAACACTAATAGAAAATTGGTTTGGATTGTATTTTTTTTTTTTGGCAACTAGATCCTCATACTCCCATATATCATACCACGTTTTTCAATTAGGATAAGACTCTTACATATATTAGATTCAAGAAATATTTTTCTTTTAACAATTTTTTTATTTATCTTTTTTCGACGGATCTTTCTCTTTTGCTAATTATCATAGCAGCCCAGCCACTTTTAATTAGGACAGATTTCACAAAACATTTAGTACTCCTAAGTCCCTTTTCCTTTTTTTGAAAGTTGGATTCCTAGTTCTTATTGACATTGGGATGAAATCACATGCAAAACTGTTATTAGAAACTCCAGCCTGCCACCAATGTGGTCAGATTACACTGGTCTCCTATCAGTTCCCCTAGTGGATCAATAGAGGCCCAAACACAGAACAAAGCGAGCAATGAGTGCCAAAGAATGAAGGCCATGATGATGATGATGATCATCATCATCATCATCCGAGCCTTATTCCAACTATTTTGGGTTGGCAACATGAATCAAGTTATGCTATTCTGCTTTATCAAGGGTCATACCATCAGTCAAGCCATAAGTCACTATATTTCTTCTCACTACTTCTTCCAATGCCCTTTTGGGCCTTCCCCTCGCTATTTTAGAGCCTTCCATTTGAACCAAATCGCAACATCTAATTGGTACTATTCTAAGTCGACGTTGCATATGGCCAGCCACCTAAGTCTACTTATCCTCATCTTATTGCCTATTGGAGCCACCCCCAAGTTCTCTCGGATGTATTCATTCTTAGTTCTATCCTTTCTTGTATTGCCACTCATCCATCTCAAGATCATCATCTCAGCTACACATTCTATGGTTATATTGTTGAAAAATTATCACAAATATAACTTAATTTTCATTTATTTAGAAAAAAAAAACCCTCAACTTTCATAAACCTCGCCCACACCTTTTTTCTTCAATTTTGGGTTTTTTGACCAAATTAACCACCTTCAAGGTAGTTGTATGATCGTGAAGCACAATTATGGTACTTTAAGTACCGTAAAAACTACATCATGTTATACGACACTTGAAATGCCATAAACCCTTTTCTCCTTATATTTATCACTTTCATCTCTCTAATTCTTTTTAGGGTGCATTTGGCATATGAATGCATCCGTAGCTGTAGAGGTAAGCTGCACCTTCAAATTTTATCACGGCATATAATTTTGATGTAAAATGCTATTAGGTTTGTCTCAAAATCTATTTTTATATCTAATTATAAAATTTTAAATTTAAAAAATGGTTAAAATCAAGTAGATCTATAAACATATGAAAATCGTGAAAATGGACAGTGTAAATAATATGTTGTAAAATGCACTATTTTTGAGACTTAAAATCCTTTTATTTTTCATGGTCATGCATCTCGATGTCGAGATGATCAATCAAAAGGGTTTTTCAACATTAAAACTACCTTTTTCGATGGATTTTTGAGGTGCATCCGTAGCTATAGAGGTAAGGTTGCAACCTTATATAAACTTTTTCCTTCTTTTTATGTTTATCTATTTGTTCTCTCTCTAATTCTTTTTAATATTTATCTCTTCTTTCTCTCTCTAATTTTTTTTTATTTCTATCTCTCTCTACTTACTTCATCAACTCAACAAACACAATTCCAACATGATACAAATCTGACTCCTAATTTTCATAAGGGATGGGGTTGAAGGGAGATTTTATAGGGGAGGGTAAGGTACGCACATGTTGTTATACAAATCTCCTTGGAGAAAGAAAGAGAGTTAGAGAGAGAGAAGAAATAAAAAACAAGGCCAAGCTTTCTATGCTTCCCCTACAGCATAGAAGTTCTATCCTCCCCTTTATCCAACCGTCCATTCTGAATGGAGGGCTAAGATTGTCCC